ATTTTGTTCACAATAATAATAATAAATATTTGTATTGAAAGCTAATTTAAATTAAATTTAATTATTCTATTTCGATAATAGTGTTTAATGAATAAATATATACATATTCTAATTTTGTTTCCCAAAGAAAATTGAAGGAATATTTTTCTGCATGATATTATATATATATATATATATATATACAAATTAATTAATGAAAGGCTCGTATAATTTAACAAAATTAAACAAATCATATATAGTAGGCCAACTGAACGAGCAAATAAATAAGGTGTAAAAATTTTTATTAATAGTTAAATAATTAAATTAACATTTCGTTACAGAATCGATATAAATTGTAAACGTTTCGACTGCACTACAGTCTTTATCAATACATAAAAGTTAAATATTAAAATACAAAGTTAAATGTTAAAAATACAAAGTTAGTTAAATATTAAAATATAAAATTGAAACGATTCTTCGCTGTTGACCAATAGATATGCAAGGCGATTGGTCTGAGATGCCAAGTTATGCGACATTTGAGCATGATTATCGTTTTAACAAGTCCTTTTCCCCGATATTTCAAGTGTGTGTTGCGAAGTCTGAATACCAAAAATTTGGTCCTTCAACCTTATAATATATAATATATCTCCTTAAAATATACCTATATATATACAGTGTGTAGGAAAATCTATTTTCGAAGATGTGAAAAATCAAGGGAGACGTGAAAGTTAAGGTAATTTTGAATGAATCGAGTTTCCAATCAGATTGTCAGAAATGAGCGCACGCGGAAAAATCTCTTTTCGCCGAGATTATAATATTATTGACGGAATATACCAGGAGAAACGCTTCGTGGCGAAATACGTACGTGCTTTCGGTAGTTTACGCGTCTTTGCAAGGAGGGTTAATCTCATTATCCTCCGCGAGAGGAGAACAAAGTGGATCATAAAGAAGGCGGTGTTTCGCTTGAACGCTTCGTTGGCGGATAAAGCAATTAAATTTTCAACGATTCAAGTATGATACGATCGTATGTGTGTATATAACAGACTGGTCGCGAATGCAGTAACAAAGTCCGATGGAAAATAATCGAGAGAGAGAGAGAGAACGGTTTTCGCGATATCTAATTACATTAATACATGTAAGTGCAATCGAATAAATATGAATCGTAAAGCGTAATTATGAATTATGACTAATTACCGTAATAATGTCGCTGTTGAACATTCATCAGTGCTTAATAACAATGCTTGTTAACGATATTTCGTTACGTGCTACTTCGCTCCTCGTTACGCGAGTGAAACTAAATGTTTTCCCATTATTTCTAAATTACTGTTTAATTCCGGGATATCTGTTTCCTCTCTCCCATCCCGAAGAAAACTACCGTACAATTTTTTTCTCCTTCGCGAATCTCGTTTTCTTCTCTTCCATTTGCGAGATACGTAAGTGTGTACCCAGCAAACACCGATATATAATTGTTACATTGCTATAATAAAACGGAATATAACAGGTAATATAACGTGTACGTTACGTGTAACATCCATGTTAGTTGTAATTTCCCACTCATAGATGTAACATTTTAATATAACATATATTACATTGTAGTTATATTGTAATTATATACCAAATAGCACATTGATGTATTGATAAGTCAATGCTATCTTGGGATATAATGACAATATAACTACAATGTAATATATGTAATATTAAAAATGTTACATCTATGAGTGAGAAATTACAACTAACATATACGTTACATGTAACATGTTTGAGTATATAACATTTATATACTGTGTTTGCTGGGTACATTAAGCGTAACAGTCGAAGATGCCACTTGCTCGCTTGATTATACAATTCACGGAAATGTTCCGTCTCGGAATTAATTCAGACAATCATTTCTCCAATTAAGACGAGAAGGTAATTAATATAGCATGGCGTATTAAAACACAACGGGATGGAAGTACCGAAAAGGGATGATACGGTGAGTCTTCCCTTTCCTTTCTTCCTCCTGTATCTCTCGATCGTTTATCGTTTTCGACGAGATATCCGGCGAGAAAATATCCGCGCTGTTCTCTCCCGAACGTAAGACGTAATAAACTATCCTTCAAATCATTTTCAAACCTGGTCGCTCGTAAATCACGGCATTATGAGCGCGTATACTCGTAATACTCGTGTAATACGGTTATATTACGTGATTTACGCGCGTCGTTTCGTCCAGGGGATTAGACGAGAGCGCGATTCCGCGTTCTTCTCTCGCGGCGTCGATTATCTCTCGCAGTCGCGATTTTATTGTGCAATCGGTGTCGTTCGCGATCCGGAGAGGTTAACTTACGATTCGGGAGAGGCGATATTACGCCGTTTCCATTCCACTTTCGATATTCATCAATCGGGATTACGGTTGGAAGCTAATTGAGCCTTAAAGTTACGCGCTCGAAATCCTCGCCGATTAAAAAGTTTCGCCTCGCGACGCAAAGTTTCTTCTCCGAAGGATATATTCTTTGTCAAAATTGTCAAGTGTCATTATTATCGCAATAATCATTGACGACACGTTTGGGATATAAAAATCGGGTCGCGTTATATTTTTAACAAGGTAAGGATTATGTCAATTATTTCTCGTTGGACAATTTCCTGGACGAAATTTCAGGCATGTGTGAGAAAAAAATTAATCGAGAGAACGCAACGATTATATCGAGGTAGAATTTGGGTCGGAATGCTTTTAAAAAAAGTGCGTATAATGCGTGTCGCTCGAATACTTTGTTAATTCTTTCAGTCGCATCACACGCTGATTTAAAAAATTTTTTTCTACGCGTACGAGTAATCCAATAAATGATATAATCATGGCGAAGAAATTTAAAACGAAGATGAAACGGTCTTGTCGGGTAACAGCGGGCGAAAATTTTATTTTCCACAACGCAACTTGTAATATTAACCTAATTTACTCATAAAGAGAAGCGCGCGCCTCTCTTTTTTCGCGATTAACCATATGCTGCCGTTAATGCAAAAAAATTATATTAGCAAGAAAAATATAATATAATATAACGAAATACGCGGATAAAAGTTTCGCGTATGCTCAAATAATAATTTCCATGTTTAATTACAACGTATATAATTTTGACGTTTAAATAATCCACAATTGCCCCGGCGAGTTGGAAAACTCACCGTCTATTTTATCTGGAAATAATTAATCGGAGAAGCGGGAATTCGTTATATCAAGTTCGCGAAAGCGATCGAAACCGTTTGTTTTTCATCAATCAATATCGACAAGCGACAGCAACTGCGGTAAACCAATTCCGATTGTTCGGCTTTATATCTCGGATCGGTTCGCTCGTAACTTTGCGCCGTCTTTAATGCCTTAATCTCGGAATCGTTAAACTCGCAAGACGTGGCGATATCTGTTTCGAGAGAAAGAGAGACAGAACAATTCTCGAAGTGGAACACATAAAATTGATTCTACCGAAGAGACGTATTACACGATACACTCGCTTTCGCGTTTAGACTCTGTACAGGCGTATCAGTTCTGGGAATTAAGACTAAAAGTTTCAGCTTCTTATTCTTTCAAGTTTTTGCCCTACAAGCTCTCTTATATATACCCTCTTATGAATAACGTACAGATCAGTTTACAGGGGACTGGCGACTTATTTCCCCGTTTGTATAATGAAATACCTACAAAGTTTTTATATTATATTTCATTTATATTTATTCGTAATATTTTATTCTATATATATATATATATATATATATATATATATATATAACATTTTTATATGTTATAACTTTATACGTTATATATAGAGAAAAAATTTTATGAATATTTAATATTTATATTAATAATATCTCTCTTTTTTCAATCGCGAAACAGCATTGATGTTGAATTATATTGTAATATAATAAAATAAAAATCGCTGCTCGATAACATCATTTGCAAACGACTAAAAATAACAATAAGCAGATTCATTCGCGACATCCATAAATATCGTGTAAGATAATGAAGAGTAAAAGAGATGCCTCCATATGTAATAATAATATTTTTCTTCTTTCAATCGCGAAACAGCATTGATGTTAAATTATGTCGTAATAAGTGTAATGAAATAAAAATCGCTGTTCGATTGCAAACGATTAAAAATATTAGTAAGCAGTTTCTTTCGCGATATATCCATAAATATCGTTTAAGATAATAAAGAGTAAAAGAAATACCCTCCATATGTAATATTTATATTAATAATATCTTTCTTCTTTCAATCGCGAAACAACATTAATGTTATATTGTAATATAATGTAATAAAAATCGCTGTTCGATTACATCGTTTGCAAACGTTGAGAAATAACAGTAAGCAGTTTCGTGATGTCCATAAGTATTTCAGATAACGAAGAGTAAAAGAGATGTCTCCATATAAAATATTTATACTAATAATAGATCTTTCTTTTCTCAATCTCGAAACAGCATTGATGTTAAATTATATTGTAATATATAATGTAATAAAAATAGCTGTTTGATTACATTGTTTGCAAACAATTAGAAATAACAGTAGTTTCGCGACACACAAATATCGTTTAAGATAATGAAGAGTAAAAGAAATACCCTCTATATGTAATATTTATATTAATAATATCTTTCTTCTTTCAATCGCGAAACAATTAATGTTATATTGTAATATAATGTAATAAAAATTGCTGTTCGATTACATCGTTTGCAAACGTTGAGAAATAACAGTAAGCAGTTTCGTGATGTCCATAAGTATTTAAGATAACGAAGAGTAAAAGAGATGTCTCCATATATAATATTTATACTAATAATAGATCTTTTTTTTCTCAATCTCGAAACAGCATTGATGTTAAATTATATTGTAATATATAATATAATAAAAATAGCTGTTCGGTTACATTGTTTGCAAACGATTAGAAATAACAGTAGTTTCGCGACACACATAAATATCGTTTGAGATAATAAAGAGTAAAAGAGGTGCCTCCAACGAATATGCGAGGAAGAAGAATCCGATAGCTAGAAAATCGAAATAGAATTCCAGACTTACCTGGAGGTCCATGGTAGCACCTTGTTGCCCTCCAAACTGATGCTCCGCAGTTCGTACTTGGTCCTGTATCGAAGCGGCGACGCCGGCACCGCGTTCTCGTTGGCAACGTTCTTCATGCTCTTGGTAGTGGGTCCGGAGAGCGCGTGCCTTCTCATGGACGTGCCCTCCCTCGCCGACTGATTGATTGTCCTCCTGAGGGAGCTCATTTTTCGGCGACACTCTTTGTTTGTTGTTTGCAATGCCACGATTTCAATTCGATTACTGTTCGGTGACTCGGTTGCTTATTTACGCGTCACATAATTTCCGCCGGGAAAAGACAGGATCCAGTCGTGGACTGGATTTCTACCTTCGTCGTGCACAGTAGTTCGCGATCAGCGAAAACTCTCGGCTATACCTTCCCTCGGAACACCATCGTTCTTCATTCAACCGACGTAATCTGCCGCCGCGAGGAAGTTTATCCTCACCAGATCCAGTTTCCCGTCGCGAGGGTCTTCGCTCGGCTCCGACGATGACGGCAGCAGCATCCCAGTTCAAACTTCCCGAACAAACGTTTACGGGATAAACACGGGATCCCTCTCTGGTTACGGAAGCTTCTTCTTCTTCTTCTTCTTCTTCTTCTTCTTCTTCTTCTTCTCTTCTCTCTACGGAAAAATGGAACTTTTTCCTCGATCTTTAGACGATCACCGGGTTCGTTGATCGAATTCCGTCCTCTCGCGAACGATGCTCCTTGTCAAGGGCGATCATCTTCTTCCGCTCCTCCCGGATGAGGAGGTCTTCGTGGTCGGTCCGACTGGTCGCAGGTGCGGACACGACGGCTTTATTCCCGTATACGAGCGTAAATGGCCGCGCTACTTTTCAACCCCACCATCCAGCGGCGTCGTTCGCCACCATAACGTTCGCGCCGTCCGGTGTTGCTGCTCATCGTCCAGCCCCACCATCGTTCCTCGGACACCCCACGTACTTGCCGTCGTCATCCCTCGTCCGTAGAGACGCTTTTCTCTCTTCTCTCCTGAGAGAGAGAGAGAGAGAGAGAGAGAGACTCTCTCGCCGTCCTTGCTCCTCTCGTTATCGGCTATTCGCGCGCGAGCGCGCGACAACTAAACTCTATCGCTCGCGCCTCGTCGAGCCCAATCGACGATGGACCGAGGGCGGATGCTGCGAATGTGCGCGCGGATCACCTCGTATTATTATTGCGATTATTGTTCGAGGGAATCTTCCCCACTTCTCGACGGCGAACGCTTAATGTCTGATAATAAAAGCTTACATCATTCAGATTATTATAGGATTAATCCGAGTATCTTTCGCTGCATTTTTTTTCTTCTCTCTGATTGATAGCGGATGGGATCACTCCGTCGGAATTGTCGAGGTTAAAAGAGAAAGCTCATCCTCACGCATCGCGAACTTTCCCGTTTCATTTGTTGACGGATATTCATATTTCCTGGAGACCTATTTTATATTGAAATTTTCCTGAAACTGTGGAAGAGAGAATTTATGCCGCATTGCTTTTTTTTTTTTTTTCTATAACGGATATTATAACGTTAGAACTATTTTAATTATTGATAATTGTTCAGACTGAGAGAAAGAATGTTTAATGTCATATTACATAACTTTTTATCAACGCGATAAATATTAATATTGTTTTAAGCAAAGGGGCAAATTATCAAAGTTAAGAGTTGACAAGCAGTTCTCCTCGCAAGTCGCAAAGTTCTATTTCGAGTCAGTTTCGAGACAATCTCGGACTCGCAATAATCAGAGTAAGATGCAAATTGCAGATGTAACTTGGAAAATTATTCACCTACCCTTTCGCGTCTCTCCCTACCCCTCTCTCTTTCTCTCTATCCTTCTCTCAAGCGTGCACGTAGTGTCTGTGCATCGCGAAGTTACCCGTGCGTAAACGATTACCTACCCTTTAAACGAGTAATCGTGCACGAGCCCTTATACTGCGCGTCAGCTATGCACGAGCTCACGCATCATAGGAATTCTTCCAGAGAGCCTGAGACGCAAGTTTGCGTCAAGAAGCGTATTTTATTTTTTCTCTATTTATTCCTCCGTAAAGCACACACAAGCAGGTGATGCGCGTTAAGGCTTAACAAGAAACCTCCGAAGAACGTCCTCGCGTAATCTTAATTTTTTTACAATCAATATTCAAATATGAATCTCTTCAGAAAATGTTTCCAAACTATCGAGCGCGACTTTATTATAATAACGCAGCGTTAAATGTCTTGATAATTAATTAACTTTCTGGTTATTGTGTGAAAGGGTCTCAATTAGAGCGTTACACGTGAAAATTAATTGCCTGTTTGCGAGCTTTTGCCGATGGTGACAATTAATTGAAGTTTTCCATTTAAATATGCAAATTTATCAAGGAGCTCGGTTGTTATTAAAATTTTTATGCACGACACGTCGTCAGATCGCACAGGCGTTCGCCTTAGGCCTCTATATTGATCGTTAAACTTAGTTTTTACACGCTTCACGTATGCGTTATAAAGATAATCAGTTAACCGCAGCCTGATTGCGATCTACGCTTCGTTTCAGCCTGTTCGCCTTTAAAAAAATAACAATCGAACACATTTTTACACATTAGCATTTTATTTCCGTGTTTGTGTCGAAATTTGTTTCTACAGTAGCGTTTGAATGCATTGATATTTATATTTCACAAATTTATCAAACACGTTTTTACACATTTTTATTCCTACACTTTTGTATAGAATTGTATTTCTGAAACTAAATTTCCATTATGAAAGAGTGTAGAAATAAAATGCTAATGTGTAAAAATACGTATTCGAAATGTAAACATCAATTGAAGCACCGCTTGTTAAAATTGTATCGCATGGACATTTTTACACTCACGAAATAACTTGAATTACACGTCGCTGCTCGAAACTCGAGAGAGAGAGAGAGAGAAAGAGAGTTTCTTTTGTATATATAGAATACACCTCGTCTAACTCGTAATTAATATGCATGTGCTTTAGACACCTCTATTTCACTCCCTCGCTTTTATACAAGTTCGGACGAAAGCTGCACGAGTTGTCAAGTCGCGAGTAAAACATTTCGCAACAAAGTATACACCTCGACTGAAGTTAACTAATTTGCGACGGGAGAACGATAATCCATTGTCCTATCTTAACAATGATAATTAGTCCGGACATAACAATGCGATACAACAAATTGTGCAAACTCTCTCGTATCGTCAACATTTCGCTCGAACTTCGAATTCGAATTTCCGATAAATTGAACTAGCTCTCTGAACGTAATATCTACGTCATCAACCACATCACATCGCACGGGGATGATTCACCTCCGTAGGTGTAATGACATTTAACCGAGTGTCTCACGTGCATCGCATCATCGACTCTCGCTTACCTCTCTTAAGCAGGCACGTGCCGGATGCGCAGCGCAATCCTCTTCGAATCATCTCGTGGAGACTCATCTCTCGAATCTCGAATCATCTCTTACTTAGAACGTAATCACGCGTTTACACGTATATATATATATATTACGTAATCGCGACTTTTCGCGGAAAAAGTCGCGCGCGCGATCCAAGGAGCGCCCTCGCGGATCGCGAGCAAGCTCGGGAACGACGGTGGAAGACTGCTCGGTTCACGGCCAAGATAATTCAGCGAAGGGTGCGCGGGAAAAACGCATGCGTCGATCCGCCCCGCATGGTCGAAGAAGCAAAGTACACATGTACCTAACGCGCGGCGCTCCACGGACGGACCGCGACTTTGGATTTTCGGAAAAACAAGCGCATATATCTCGTGTATAAGCGAGAGGGAGAGAGCTAGGGAGACCCCGGGAAGAGGGATCGATCAAAAGGAAGGACTTCGCGAAGCAATTATAGAGACACCCTCGTGTGTGTGTGTGTGTGTGTGCGTCTCAACCCCTCTCTTTCTTTTTCTTTATTTCCCTCAGACTCAGACGTGACCTCGGGATCATTCGCCACGATCGCCTGAGGCTGATGCTGTCGATCTCGAGAATGGATCCGCCGCTTTGCGGAGAATTCTCCTCGACGCTCGTAATTAATTTAGACACATTCCTTCCCGCCGCGATTGTTCCGGCGAGAAGGCCGGACGAGAGAGTTCTCTCTCTCTCTCTTTAGCAGGAGATCTGCAATCTAATTATCAGCGAGAGACGCTTGTACTTTTCGTATCGGCATCTACTCAGGTGCTACTCCACATCTTCTTTTTCTTTATCGTTTTTTTTTTTTTTTTTTTTCTCTCACCTTCCTCTCTCCGATAAGGAATAATAAATTATTCGGTAGTATATTGGGATCGGTATATATATGCGTTCGGAAAGTAGATTTGAATGGACTCAATTTTAATCTCGTAATCCACACTTCTTTTTCTTTTCGCGTCGCATGTTTTATGGATTCGTGGAAATTTAAATTTAAAATCATCTTGCGTTTTACTTTCCGAACAATCTAGCCGAGTACATTCGCTTAATATGGCATAAATACAATTATCGAACATATAGAGGGAAAATATTTTTCTTATAATATTCCAAAGGAGAAGGAGGTGTCTCCTTTCTAAACAAGACGACGCTCGCTGGACGGATACGTTCAAGAATAAGAATCTTTCGAGTAGAGTCATCATATAAAGTTTATTCGGCAATAAAATGTAAAACAGTACAAAAGCCACTTTTAGTAAACAATTTTATTAATAGCCACGTTCTCTCCGGCCTCGCTCGAAGATCGTATTACACTTATTCCACTTATTTGCGATCGCTGTTGAAACTCTCGCGCCATTTTATCATAACTTCGACAACAACGTCGAAGCCCGTATAAATTAATTTCCCCGCGAAGTAATACAGAGCGACGAGGGTTACATGATTTATTGTATATTTCCAACGCACTCGGATCGTGCATCACGTACGTGCGCTGTCAGCATTTGTTAGCAGTTACAATTTAGGGGAGTTTAGTGCCAACTTATACATTGTATCGCTATCTTTCGAAACAGCGCTGTCACAGCGAATCGTATTGGCCATTCGTTTCGGCAAATTTACCGGTTTCTCCCTTTAATTTGAGAGATCCTTCGTCTCGTTACGTACACATTCCATATATATGTTCGCAGGAGCGTGTAATCGAGAAAACGGCTAATTCGCACGCAATTCGAATCAGTTAGAACAATTTGATGAAAAGAAGGATTATCTGTTACTTTCTATAACACTAAAATACATAGCGCGCTATTTCACCCTCGGTTCTTCTAATTTTCACGTCACTCCACGTCCCTCTTATTCTGCGTTTATCCCTTAAGTTAAGTATACAAGCGTTTCATTAATTTCTCTTATCTCAAGCATGTTGTTTTTCTTTCTTTCTTTTCTTCGACATTGAATTTTGCCCGCGATAGCAAGTCTTTGTTAGAAGATGCTCTGAAAGCACGATGTAACCGACGTCGAGGTAAAAAAAAAAAAACTCGGACGTTGATAACACTTGTTATGTAATTTTTCAATATGATTTATTATATCCCATTTTTCGCGATTAATATCCCTTTCATGTACGGGGGCACTTTATGCTTTATTCATCGATCCACATGTATATGTATGTGCGTTTAGCACGTGATACACACAGGTTCGATGTTTTAATTTAAGATATATATATATATATATATATATAATGCATAACTTTATTATTGATTTTAATTTATAGTCACGTGTAAGGAAAGCGGCCATGCAATTACTGCTTTCTCTACACATCGCGGTTTTTTTTAATTTGCAGAAAATATTATCTGTGTCTGCATGCTATATCGATTTCAAGCCCTTGGACGGATTTATCTCGCAAACAATCGATTCGGACTTGAATTATCGAGCACAAATTCTACGAGCTTCTTATATTCCGCGCATCGATTATATTGAATTGTGTATGAATTGAGAGCAGTATCGTTTTTCCATTGTGTGGTAGTAGTACCGTTAAATATAATTCAACCTTACAACGTACATATTAAAAATACAATGTTACATTAACTATCATATATAGCAGTTGCGCGAAAATAATTCAGGCGTGATGCGATTTTTTTTTCGAAATTTTTGAATACTTAAGAAACTATATATACGTATATGTACAGCAAATTTATATAGGTATTATATTTCGACCTTCGCGTTGCATATTGCAATTGTAAATTTTCGCCGGTACGAATTGTTTGATATTGTTCGAGAATATCAATTTTGCGTTATCTCAAATGTGCAATTCACCTGCGCAATTTTGACATTCGATAATTTTAACGATACGTAAACACAAAGCGAAGCGTAATATTGAAAGCAAAACGTTTCGTTGTTATCAAAACAAATTCTGGGGCAATTATACTACGATCGCGTCCTGATACATTAATTGTAATTTGCAAACTCCCCGAATTCCCATCTCGCGGCTCGAGGATTCGGAATACTTCTGTAAACTCTAATGACTGCACTGTAGATAATAGAGCGCGATGTAAGAGAGAGAGAGAGAGAGGGAGAGAGTTACGCATAAATTTAATACGCGTGACTATACATTAGCCATAGAAGGTACGCCGTATTAATTACAAATATATATGTATATATATATATATATATATATATATATAATACCTATCTAACGCGCGAACATACCGTGTCGGTCGATACGTATTCTCGGCCGAGCCCAGGTACTCCGACGACAATACATTAAATCGGGTAAAAGGCTTGGAGGAAGGGAGATTAGATAAATGATCTTGGAGGGACAAGTTTAGCTATCGTTTGTGAAGCGTAATTACCCAGCACCGTGTATTTCGTTACCTACCTTAAGTAGACTATTATCGCAGTTGTATCGCAAATGGAGAATGTTTTAATATCGCGAGCTATATACGAGAAAAAAAGAGAGAAAGAGAGAGAGGGAGACAGGGAAAGAGAGAGATCGATTTTCGCGATCTGTTGAACGTTAGAAAGCTGAGGACAAGCAGACACTGTTGTGCGTGTCCTCTCTCATGCGATTACATTATATTATTTATTACTTTTCCACGCACATTTTCTGTCATTTTCTTCTTCTTATTGCGTTATTTTCTCCGTTTTCGACACATTTGCTAATTAATCCATTTAAGCCCTTCGAGCGAGTTTTTCTATTCAAACTCGTATATTTGGCGTCGACAATATTTTCGGTGATTTAATCGAAAATGCGTAAATTCTTGCAAAAAATGACGCAACATTTGTCACTTGAGTTTACCGATAAAAAAAGTTTCCATCGCCGGTGTATAGGGGCTTTTAAAATGGCTTAATTTCGGCAAATTGTGCACGATTGTCTGATTATAGTCTCGCCAGAATCTGCAGACTCACTCGCGGCGAGATAAGTAACCCGCATGATCTACGTCTACGCGTTTACGAGTGACGTGTGAAGAGACTGGCGGTTGAGCAAAATTTTCCGAAAATTCGGGATAATGTTTACATTGGGAGATCTCAATATCGAAGGAACGTTTCGGGAGACGATCGTGAAATTGGGACAGTTGAAAGTTTTTGAGCGGTTGTCAAAGTTTTCAGCGAGCCGTCTGGGATAACAAATCAGTGAATTTAGACGATAAAAACTACCATGAATTTTGTAGGAAAAGGAAGTAGAGCAGCGACGTAAGACGGAATAGCGAACTGGTCGCTGCAAATAAATGATAATCTTACTCTGGTTATTTTGTGGCCCGTCCGTGTGCATTGCCCATTGTCATTCTTGGCATAGATATCGATCGTACAGGAAGTCTCTGTTCGAGAGAACGAGACAAACACTTGTAATGCGCGAGTCACGTAGAGTCACCGACCGAAAAAGTGGCCGTGAGAAAAATATGAACGACGCCCGCTCGTATAAATCATAATCCTTTCGTAACAAAATGAAAAACATGCGAATCTGTCGCGAAAGATTGAAAAATAAAATTATGCGCTCCGATCCTTCAAATAAATCTTTCTAGTTCTCGCGTTCCTCAACTCTTTGAGCAATTCTCTCTTTGCGTATTTAAGCAATATTTGAAGTTCGCAGTCTTCTCGAAAGCTATCGATTCTATATTATATTCTTGCAGATTTTTTTCTGAATATTAATTTTTTGTCTTCTTCTAATTCATCATGTTTCATTGCCAAACGACAGAATGAAAAAAATTCGCTGCTCAAAAAATGACAGAATAAGAACCTTAAGCTTCGGACTTGATAATCGAGACCTTCGTCGAGATTAAACAATATCGCCCCCGTAGCTAAGTTCGAGGTAAAGACCGAGAATCGGTGTGACGCATATTTATAGGAGGCTGCTCATATCTGCATTTCCGGCTCGGAATTGTTATCGTTGAACCAGTCGGAAGCCCTCTGACTTTCCGTCACCCGCACGCTAAGCTCCCTCTCGGTGTATCGACTCGATCTCGAGACAGCTGGACCCCGTCTGTGCTCGTCGAATGAGGCGAGGACCTCCAGTCTATCGCCTCGTCTGATCGCTCTCGGGGTCGTTTCCACGGAACTGGTGCCGTCCTCCGCGGTCGCCCAGGGCGGCAAGCTTCCGGAAGGCATGCCCCAGTGCTCGGTGAACTCCGAGCCCGACCTGGCCAAGCTCGGCTGGCTGAGCGATCTGACCAGGGAGTCCGCGCCCTCGAAGGAACTCAGGCTGGTCAGATCGTCCATCCGGGCGAAGTCACGGACCGTTATCTCGGACATCGATCTTAGATCGGCCTCGCTGCCGGCGCCGGCGCCTCGCGAACGAACAGAACCGCCCAATCGACGCGGACGACCCGTGATGGTCGTGGCGGACTGCGACGTCTGCAGATGATGACTCTGGGTGCCTAAGGTTCGCGCCGAGCTGCCGCCGTCGCTCTCGTACTCGTACAAAGTCGGAAGGGAGGATCGTCTGGACCTGGTGTCCCATTCCGATGACTTGGATCTCTTGTATCTGTGGTTCTTGCCATGACCGGAGGAACCGGAAGTGGAGCCGGGGTGCGTCGACGGCGGGCTCAGAATACGGATGATCACGTCCCACTTGGCCGGCGCGAATAGATTCACATATCTCGCGTCCTTCCGTATCAGCTCGTAATCCTCCTTGACCACCGCCTCGGTCAGCAAAGTCCTTAGCGTGCTCTCCGTCGTGATGATCTCGCGCCACTTGACGCGCTCCTCGTCCGTCAATTCGGTCGCGTAACGCGGCTCCAGAACGCGCGCCAGCCTGGTGTACCAATCGGCATCGGCGTCGTCGAGCGAGCGCCGAGAGGCGGCCGGTCTGCAGGGAATTTCAGCGCGGGTGGTATAAGTCGGCTCGATGTTGACGTCCGGCTCGTCGTCGACGGCGCTCGACGGCTCGTTCGTGATGGTTAAGTTGGAAGCCGAGCTGACGTCGGAGAAGTTCTCCCATTCCGGTGGCGGCGGCGGCAGATCCTCCGTCGGGTAGTTCCTGATGGTGACGTCCCACTTGAAATCCGGCGGCGGTTGCTGCCTGGCCAGGTACTCGGTCACCTGGCGAGAGTGCCGCTCCACGTCCTCGATCGTCTTCTTCTCCGTGACAGTGCGCAGGAACACGTCGTCCACTTCGTGGGTCGTGATCTCCGGCCGGCGAGTCGCGACCACCTGCGGCTGGACCAGCGGCTCGGTCATCTCCTCGCGCAGCAGACGATGCTCGCGGTGCTGAACGGCGGTGTGAGTCGTGGTGGTGGACGTGGTCGGCGCGATGGAAGGTGGCGGAGGTGGAGTCGGCGCCAGGATGCTGGCCACCCGATACTTGGCGTGAGACGCATCCGTCACTTCGGTCAGCGAACGAGTCTCGGTGCTCGGGGATGGGAGTTTCTCCTGGATCACCGTGGTCTCCCGTTCCGCCTGCTTGCGCAGGATCCTCGAGTAAACCGGTGGCGTCTGCTGCCGAGAGATGCTGGAGACGGACGACGGTGGCCCGTGCAGCTCCGGAACGTAGGAGAAGGTTGTCATTCGGTAGGGCGTACTGGACGAGCGGCTGGATTCTTCTCTCTCCAGGATGGTCGTCAGGTTTCTCTCAAGGGCGATGCTCGCCACGTCCGACTCCGACGGCAACGGGCTCGGCGGAGGCGGTGCTCTCTTCACTCTCATCTGTACGTCGAATTTAGGCTCGAGCGGCACGGCCACGGGATGACGCGGGATCATGATCCTGGACGCGTTCGCGGCTGTCATCGAAGAGCCTTCCACTTCGGCGGCGACCGTCTCGGAGTACAGGGAGCTCGAGGTTCGCATCTCCACCTGCCGCTGGATCTCGTGATGGTCCACGAACGCCTTATTGTCGTAAGATCCTGCGGAGGATACGGGCAGCGAACGTTCCTCGTCCACCTGTAGAAACAAAGGAACATTCAAACATTTTCATTTCTTTGTATAGAATTATGGATTGATACATCATTATTCAAATATATATAACCAATGAAAAATTATTATCATATTAAATATCGAAAATGTTACACATACTCTTTAGTTATTTTTAGACTGAAGAAATTAAAATTCGTGACCCACTAAAATTTATATTCCCAGCTCGATATTAAACTCGATTTTCCAATATAAAAAAAGGGGGCGATACGCTCTTTTTCTATTGCACATTAGCTCAAAAAAATGAATGTTCAATCATCCGCCTTTGCAAACAATTATCGGGACTCGCCTCGGAGTGGCTCTCGCTCGGATAATCGCTCGGCAACGTGTCCGAATGATCGATCACCAGATTCGCCTCGCTACCGGAAGTAGACGCCGCCGCGTGAAGAAGGGCGTGCGCGCGAGGTATCTTCAGACCCTCGAACATGGTGATGTGGCTCAGGGTCGAGCCGGAGAGCTTCGTTATCTCGGAGCCGGTGGCGCTCTCGAACGGATGTCGATGGATCACCCGGACGTTTCGGCGTTTCAGACACATGTAGGAACAACCGAGGCCTAGCAGGAGCAGCGAAAGGAACAGAATCGCGCAGATAATCAGCAGGATCTGAAAGCCTTTCAGCGGGGGTTCGGTGATCGCCGCGGGCGTGATCATCGTGGCCGATCTGCGGAAATCAAATTAGAGCATTACTGCATTACGAGGAATAAAGCCGTCTATCGTTATACGACACGTTCTAAATACAGAGCATTGCTCCTTGTTCGACAAACAGCGATGCAAATAGTCGAGGCGCGCGTGTATTTTTCGTCATATTCGTTTCTTTAAATTTGCATTTGTTTGAACGTTAATAATATACGTTGCGTATACTAAATTTAGCTGCTTGTAATACATGATGATGATAGTCGATGTCAGTCACGGAATTTAGTAGCGTAATAATCGATAGTTTTGTTGAAAGAAAGGAAAATATTCAAGAATAACATCCATTTCGAAAATGTGAACTTTTAAATTAATTATATATATTTTACTTCCTGCGATTTAAATTTGGAAAATTAATATACAGATATAATGATTAGCTAATATAAATATAATCTCGATGAATCAAAATGAGAAAATAATCTAACAAATTCTACCGTCAGTTTTTGCAAAAAAAAAAAAACAAAAAAAAAGATATATTTTTCTTGGCAAGTATTTTAATAAGAATTCTTACATGCTTTCTGGAGGCTTTGGTGGTGCGGGTGCTACGGGTGGGGGATATCTGCAGACTATAGTGATAACCTCGTCTCCTTCCATTTCTAATCCAGGATGAAAGCGAACAACCACATTATTGGTGAACACACGCAGAGGATCCTGTTTTGTACCGCATCCTGGAACGCAGATTATTTTCATACGATAAAAAATTAAATTCATTGTGTAATCAAAAACTGAGAATGCTTTCTAAACGCAACAAATAATAATATTATATATAATTACATTTTAATTAAAAATATAGATATACTTCACAAAAATTTCATGCATAATTCCAATATTATTGCAATATATATTTCTATACAGTATTACTTACTTCCGATGTTGTTCTTAATAACCGATTTATTTTTGCAAATGACATTTGACGTTTTTGCGAAATAAAAGTGACATTCCGTTTCTAGCAAGCAAATGTCAAACACAATACCAAGACACACCTTTCAGAGGTAGTTCCAATTTAGCAGTGGTATCGCCACGTCCTTTGAATATACAGGCGCTGTTACGATCATAGTCGGCGTAGGCCACTCCGTAGAAGGGCTCCTCGAATTTCAGCTCGACCTCCATGCTGCCCTGGTTGCAGTTTAGGAAGGCCTTGGTTCGGTTCAGAAATATAACCGACGAGATGTCGTCCAGATTGGTGACTTTGCCGTCGAGAACCGTGCTCGGCGGCAGTCCTGGCTGATACTCGATGCTGTTGCCTTGCGACGCATAGTTGCTCTGAGACAGGGCAATCGGAATTGCCGTCCAGAGCAGGACCATCAATCTTGGCAGCATCTACCACGAAAAATGATAGCTTTCAGGAAACTGATGGCAAATATAAATCAAAATAATCTGCGTAACATATATTTCATAATAACTGTTCTCTCGAAAGATAATATAAATGATAACAGAAATGTTAATCGAACAAACAAATAAATTATTGAAAATAAGAAATTCGCCCGTTTATATCAAATAGAATATTCTTGAAGTTGCATGAAAATTGAATTTATATCATGATGCATACTTAATCATATTAATATAAAATATACCGAAAGTCGTTGCAGTACATATCTTCCTACGTTTATTTTTTAATAACCGGTCATTATTTTATAGTAATGTCATGAGATTTTTTATGAAGATTTCCTTATTGGAAAATATACCGTGACATCACAGTCACAATTACACCCTAATACACGCTATAATAAAGCTTTAGTGACAAATGCAGCATTGCAGCTGTATGACATGTACTATAAGGATCGAAATCATTATGTTCTCAGATGTCATTCGACATGCACGAGGAAGCGACACTGTCCACATTCCCACGAGCGACTTCCACGGAACGTAAGTTTTTCCTTCATGCTGTCATTGTTTATACGCATCGTTCGATTCACACGTGAATCTGTGCATGCGATATCTATCATAATACACGTCATCGCGTTCTCCATATAGGGTGTGCCAGAAAACTTTCTCCTAACCACAGACACTATAATAGCGCAATCAAAAACAATAATAGAATTGATTGAAAAAAATTCTTCTTAATGTCGAAACCCTATCTTGTTTTTACGTAATCCTAATTCGACGGCAGGAATTACATTAGATATTTAACTTGAAGAAATGAAAAGTCACGATTTTGATTTTCAATGAGAAATTTTTATATCAAGCAACTATTAGTTTAAGATTGATCGAGGAATCTATAGTCGAGAGACTAACTTTTAGTACACCCTATACAATATCTTGAGACCCTTCTCGAGTTAAGTCTCAGCCCTCTCCCACTCAACTGGAGCAGAGAAAGCCGTTATCCGTCGCTCCGAGATGTAAAACAGATAAACGCGGATTTTGTTATCCCCTATACGTGTAATATCCGCGATTTTAGTAGAAAAACGCTGCGTGCAAAATTCCGTTACTATATAAAATTAAACTCCGCGAATTATGGACGATCAATTACACCGAGCAGTGTAATGCGCGCAATTCTTCCCGTGTAACATGGGTAGGGGAGCTCGTTCTTTACAAATAACAAAAACGAAGATGACATATTGCAAGTGTAACGATATGCGCGAAACGATTATATAGCCGCCACGGCCTCGGGAGAGCCTACTTCAAGGTACTGTTACGTTTACCACCGGTAATTGCATCGAGTAAACGTACAAATTATAGGCATTACTAAGCCGCATCTATAAAAATATCCTTCGCCGTGCACGTTTTCGTTCGTGCACGATCGCGCGCCGGTATTCGCAATACGCTCGTAAACGCCAGACGACGATATTCCTCGCTAAAATACACTCGCGCCGAAACCCGCGAATCACTCGACTACGTCGGGGCGAATTCGCGTTTTCCGTGATTTTGCTGAAAACTGGACGGCCATTGATTACTCGCCCTGCTGTGTATTTAATAGCGCGTGAGAATCTCCTTTGCGTCCTCGTCGCGCAAACGTTTACTGCTACATCAAGTGAAAATGTAAAAAAAAAAAAAAAAAAAATCGAATGTTTTATCCATGTCCGTCTAATTGGATGTTTCCGTTATTCGAAAAAAGAACCAGCATCGATCGAACTTTAAGCGAGCAGGTAAATTCTAAGATCATTTTACGCAATTTAAAAAAGTAATGAAATAAAATAAAATAAATAAAATAAAAATAAGAAAGACATGAGCGTTTGTATGAAAATTTAAAATGACAAAGAATGAATATTTGAAAGAATGTTATCGCGCTATAGATATGCAGAACGACGACGTAATGGCAGCCATAAATCGTTAGGAGTAAAAATAGATTCGGATAGCAATATTTATATCGATGGCCGTCCCTGCTCTTTAAAAAACTGCGCTGCAAACCTAAATGCTCGTTGAGTGCATAATTCAAGAGTAATTGACTGGAGTGACGGATATGATGGGCCATTTATTAGCGCCAAACATCGCATCGGCTAGAAATAGTTATATTAATTGCGCGTTTGACGCAATATATATAAATCACTTGGAAAGCGATTAGTAAAACGTGTGTATTTCGAGATACGCGTGATGAGTGTTGTAGTAAATTACGCAAAAATAACAAGATGCACGAGCCATTTCAGTCTCAAGAAAATAGCGGATCTCGGGGCGGCTTGTTAAAAGCTCATTGTTTCTTCTGTTCGACGAGTTGATCGATAAATTAATTTATCGTCAGCGAAAATTTGATGGTATTTCTTTTTGTAAATTAAATACAAATAATAATATAATTTTTTAACACACACACATACATACACATACTCATATTCAATATAAAACAATTATTTAAGTAAATAAATAAAATGTGTTTTGCTAAATAAAATAATTTTAACGCATTTAAATAAAAAATATATATACATATATTCTGAATTAATTACTAAGAGATTTAAATTTGCAAATATATTTATTGTTAAAAGATTCAACATTCACACGCGCGAGTAAATAATGGTCCATTTCACAGTTTGTATGAAAAAAAAAAGTTAATTTTATATTTACCAGATTTTTTTTTATTTACTGAAGAACACGTGCCATGCGTGTATAAAACGATCTCGAGAACCCGATCGTTCCGTAAAATCACGGAAAATAGCGGATCTCGGGGCGGCTTGTTAAAAGGTCATTAAAGATTTCACAACTTCTCCGCGTTCTTCTTCCCGGATCGCGAACGCAGAAAGTAACGCGTGAGAAGTCTCATTTAGCAATTGTGCAGCTATTTCCTGCTTCCGGCGTTTCCTTTCTCCGAACGTGCCACGATGAGGAATCTGCGCGCGATTACTAATTATTTAATTGATGCGCGCTAAGATACGCGTTGATGAAAAAAAAAGAACAACAGCTAATATAAGGAGTAACGAAGTACGATTTAATTGGCGATATGCCGTCGTGGCGCGCGATATTATCAAACCCATATCGTTTTACTGGCATTAGCATATCGCGCACGAGAAGCTGAATCGAAATAAAAATCTGTTAACGCGCGACCACCCCATACTAGAAGCCTGCGCTAAATCATATTACAGTCCCTTTGGTAATATTACACTTCTCCCAGTCTCCCGCGGCTGCTGAGATACGAGGTACCTCGCGTCATACTTTAAGACCCCCTATTACGCAAATAATTTTATAGTCCTTAATTATTCTCATCCTCCGCGAACGTTTGTCTTTGGCGGTATCTCGAAATTGAAAATAACAACCCTTGTTACTACATCAAGCTTCGATAATATCATTAATTCTACTACTCGCGAGTTCGCGATACGATGTAGAGAGTGAGGAGTGAATCACAAGGTAGAGATACAAATTTTCTATTTCCGTTGCATTTGAAGATTAAATCAAAATGATAGAGAAATAATCGCATAATATAAGATATATGTTTAATTAACACTGTTTTCGCCCGAAGTTTTTTCTGCCACACAAATATATTTTTTTAATTAAATTTTGACAGAAAACTTGTGCCTTTTTTCAATCTAATATACATTGCAACAAAATCTTTATCAATTATCGAGAGGCGTATCATGGTAATATAAATTTTTGCAGACTAAAAAATATTTTTGCGCGAATACTCGTCATTACAAAATATGAATAAATGGAACCGCGAACGGAAAAGTCTTATCGAAGCTTTTCTGCGCGGATTACCGAGGCTGCGCCTATCCTCGACAGAATTTATTTTCGTATAGAAAAGTTGAGTCATGCCCTTTCCGCAAGGATCGATTCGCTTACATTTCGATGCAGCGCGCGAGACTTTATTGCGATTGTATCGTGTTCATCCATCAGCCTCAATCCTCTCGCGTCACTGAGAGATGTTGAGATACCTTTGGAATAGCCATTATCCGCTCGGCAGCGAGGCCATTAAAAAAGATGCGATTGATATCCGGCCTTCCGCTGGCGCAATCTCGACTTCCTCGTGCAGCCGGCTACCGTGTCCGAAGAAAGAGAAGAAGAAAAAAAAGAACCGTAAGAAAACTTCTCAGCAAACGATTATCCTTCAAATCGCTTCGTGGTATCGCCGATTTAGGAAGACAGTAAATAGCTCCGTCGTTAGTTTACCATAACGTTGCGTATGTAAATAAACGCGCGAAAATACACTTTGCGTTTGTTGAAATTTCAGGGTGTCTAGCGGTCAGGGAAATTTGGAAAACCGGGTAATAAATCTGGAATTGTCAGGGAAAAGTGAGGAAATTGTACTATTTATATCTGGATTTTTTCGCATTATTCTACATTTGTTTCAATAATTTGAAATTTTTAATTAAATCAATAAAAACTTTTCCTCGACTCCCAGCACGCTAATTTTCTGTGTTGTTCAAAATCGATTCATCATTCTACAGCGTCTTCGTTAATTTATACTTTCATCGTCGTGTTATTTTACTTCAATATATTTGGTAGAGACAAAGCTAAAAAATTTGATATAATATAAATAAGAAAGGTGATTATTTAAATAGTTTATTTCGATTATTGTACATAATGCAGATTGTGTAACTAATTTAAATTTTTATTTTAACTTCCGAACCTTTTCAACCTTGTTGACAAAAATATTTCAAGGATTTCATGATTTAACATTTAATTGATTTATCATATAGATATATACAAATTATATATATTTAGAAAAAATAATACTAAAAAGTGAGGAAAAAAATTAATTTCTAGTCTTGGAAAATCTGAAAGAGTCAAGGAATTTTTTTCATTGAGTCTGCTGGACACCCTGAATTTATTTCTCCGCGAAATAACTTTAAAGCACGTGGAGATGGACCACGTCTATCCTGGCTGGATTCGTCACTTCCGCGGAGCGGATGTATACGAGCAAGAAATCGAAGGGAATATCTCTCGCGGTCGTCCGTCTCTCTTTCTCTCTCTCTCTCTCGCGCGCATCTAACGATGACTGCCGGCTCTAAACCCGTGATGCAGGACCGCGAACGAAGGAGAGTCTCGGGCACGCTTCGATGCACTCGCGTTGCCGGACCGGCTGCACCGTTAGGCCGTGCCGCGGTATAATACGCGCTCGAATCGCGGTGCTGCACGGCATAACAGAGTGCCCGGTTTATACCGACTCGACCGCGTCGTTTATCCCCGAAACCCGCGATCATGAATTTTCCTATCGAACACGGTGGAAATATTTCTTTCGCCAAATCCAATTTCCATACCCTCGAAAATTGGATCGCAGAGGTGTGATTAATTCTCAATTTTTCTTATGTACATCTATTTATTTTATGTATGTAATAATTACTATATATATATTCTACGCTAAACAGAATACACATTAGAAAGGAGAAAACTAATATATTGTAAATATTTTGCCAAATCCAATAATTTTCTTGAAAATTTGATTGTAAAGATAATAACTTCAGTTATGTATAATTAATTCTCAATTTTTCCTATATACATTTATTTATTTTATGTATGTAATAATTTATATATTCTATGCTAAACAGACTACATATTAGAAATGAGATCAATAACTGTAAAGAAATTTATAAAGAAAATTGGTTTGTATTGAAATAATCTTCAAATGCATCTTCAACTTTACTCTTTGCTCCGTTTTTCTTCTTGAATTTACTCTTAAGATCGAATATCGCTGTTGAAAATAATTGAGATCAATTTTGTTTTCGCATAATTACTTCTACTGAAGATTGATCTTGTTGTACGTGGTAATTTATATTTGAAAATACATTACTAGACAAAATCGGGCATAGAAAAATAAATAATAATAAATAAATAAATTAGGGATAAAAAATAAAAAAAAAAACACCTAATAATTTTTTTTTTAATTAAAGTCGCTCAATCAGTATTGTCCTGTCGTACATACCTTCGACGCTTTAGCCGCTTACTGATCGCAGATTCTTCGTCCCGGTCCTCGTTCCTCGTATCTTTAAGATTGATGACGCATGGCGTGCTGTCCTGAAATACCAAAGTAACATGACGGGGATTACTTTAGTGAAAGTTATCTCGGTGGAGCGTGAAATATGCGGACATCGCGACAAGACGCGTGCGCGACCGCGATTGACGGCTAATAATACACGGTGGTTACAACAAATCTACGACACGCTTCCGCGCGGCACACACAAGTGCGTAAATATTTGCGGTTGTTTTATATATCAATGGAAACCATAAAATAGAGACACTCCGAGATATCTCTCTGCAAGATGTCTCGCGTATAAGTGGAGGTATAAGATATCAGATTAGTATTATATGTATATACAGGTATCATGTATAATAAAAAATATGGACAGATCAGTACAGTGTTACTTGTCAAAAAAATAAGCAATTTTGAATAAAAAATACTTGTATTTTTTTTATAAAAAGTACCGATCTAATACTTTCTTTCGAGGCAATTTAATGATTGTCGGAATCCAATGTCGGTATTTCATCAACAATTCCGCTCTGAACTGTTATTTCATAGGAGTGAGCTAGCACGATCCATAAATCACTGAGTTAACAGGAACTTCCACCGAGGATTAGTCGATCTAAGAGCATCGAACCGGATCGTTATGTAGCGTGCTTTAGTAACTTCCTTATTATTCGGAGTAATTAAAGAGATGCCGTTTTTTTTCTACCGAAACATGTTATTACCAGAAATACATAATTAACACCTCTTATCGTTGTTACACTCTGCATTTCTAACGCGCACTCTAGAATTCTTTATGGCTCCGCGAGAGAGCTTTTATTAGACTTGTACTTCATAATTGCATCTGAGAATGCGCTCTCTGCGATATACCTACTCGAACATAAAGAGAAGAAGAAGACGAGACTCGCGATGCAGTGGTAGATGAAGAACAGATGAGATTAAAAGATACACCGAGAAAATTTATGGAAAAGAGATACCTTCAGAAAACATTAGCCGGATCAAATTTTACTTTAAACTACTTATCCTTAACGCGAAAGAAAAAAAAAATATATATATATATATATTGGCTTTGTCTCTGGAAAACGCGCATTCTAGGAAGATGACAGAGAAATGTTGCAAACTCTCTGAAAGTTACAACCAGATTTAATAAAACTTTTCTGCATCTCGTCCCGTGCGGCACACTTTTCTCTATAGCAGAGATATACACTCGATGTAATCGATTCTTCCATGACACAGTACGATGATGCGTCGCTAACCTTGGCCGCTTCCTGTCACACAAGCATACGCCCCCACACAAACACATGCATTTATTGACACACAACTATATATCCGACCAATTTTCTTGGAGTCAGACCGCACTCGCTCGGTGACATTCTTTTAGGACGACGGCACGTGAGCGTCGTACCGATTACGAGATTTCACGTACAGATACATACGTATGCGGTTCGAAACACACGTACGTTGTTACATGTGTTTTATACGGCCCCGTGTAAGCCGAGCGGACGTGTTCGCGCTTCGCGACGAGGAGGATAATGAGGATCGTCAGCGAAAGAATTCGCGAAGGCTTTCGATGACGGTCAGATCGAGAGATCGAGAGATGTGTCCCACGCGATTATGCTGCCAACGCGACCCAGCATCGCCTTGGTCGCGGAATATAAAGCGAATAATTTGTAGGATGCTTCAACAATCGCGACTTTCTCGAGGTATATTAAGGATTTTTAAAAAACCGTGACTCTAAGTGAGAATCTAAATGTGAGAATAAAGAAATTAAATTTTGCAGATTTTTGTGAACAAATATGGCAGAATATTCTTATAAATTTTGTTATAAGTAAACTTCATTTTAATTTGCATTTTTAGTTACATATGTAAAGTCTGCTATGCAATAAAAAAAATCTACTTTTGTTGGATTTTATGATATTGCACGTTTAAAGAAGAAAGGAATTTTAGATTTTCAAGAAAATCGCTTCGTGTTAGGGAGAAAGTTGATCATTTCTCTCTCGGAAAGACATTTTATATCCGCTGTTGCTGGAAATTTCATTGTTTTAAATTTAATTTATTGCAATGAAGAGCGAAATAAAAAATCTTTCGGTCTAATATTTATGTTTAAAAATATAAATATAAAAAATGTTTCTATACACTGATATGGTCGTAAAAGTAAAAAAAGCAATGTTTATAGAATGCATAGTTAAGATATTCAATTCAATTCTCGAAATATGAAATTGTCTAGTAGAAAAATGGAGATAGAATCGCGTGGTTTTTGTTATTCAGGCGAAACACAATTATGCAAAGTCGGGAGAAATGTGTTTGAACGAAGATAGATCTTTAACATTAGTAAGGATAAAAATACATAACAGAGATTTTAACTTAATAAATGTTCTCCATATTTCATCTCAAGAGATTTTCTCTATAAATCTATATATATGTAGAGAATATGCAGATGTGAAGAAACTTTCTCAGGTGAACGTATTACTACAATGTACGTTTCGAAATAACATGTAGCGTGCATATATTTCGGAAGTGAAAAATAATGTTTAATTTTATTCTCAACGGGATATTTTAATTAAAGACGATCCACTTAAAAACGAACCGTGAAAAAGTGCTGCGAATGACCATCTCGATAACTTGCACCGAAATAAATCACGCATGCGTACCAATCATCAGCTCTCGCGCGATTCTCCTCTCTCAAAATAAGTTCCGGAGCTATTTAAATATTTAAAGGTTTACGTGTCTTCCCTCGTCGAGTTTATTTCTGCTGCAAAACGATGACAAAACTTTTCTCGCGTGCTTGTAAACACGTTGCCGACGTGATTACTCACGGCTGTCGGTGATGCAGCAAATGGGTAACTTATATTTTTCGCGGAACTATTATATAAAAGTATCATCGACGAGACGTTTCCGCATGGAAAGGGAAGGAAAGATGCGCTATGTGTTTTGTCACATGGGATGCATTTTGTATCGCAAAAACGAAAGACATGTTCGTATCTCTGGTGATAATTTTTTTCGAAATGGAACGGGAGAATTCATATATCACGACAGACAAGTATTAATTAAGCGAGACAATAATTTGGGAGATACAAAACGATGAGAAAAGAAATACGTATCTATTATTTCAGCGTCTTGCTATTGTGTCGTAATTTTTCTTCTTTATGAAATATTGAGGTATAACATTTCGAGAAGAACTTTCGTTGACTTACTATATAACGTCGATCGATGATAGAGGAGACACACGAAATTAAAAGAGAAAATCAAACAGCTGTCGCCACGATTCGTAAGTCAATAACACTTGGACAGTAATAGTGCTTATTTGTGTTTTATAAATGTCTCGAGAGTTCATAAATTTCTCTCCTGACAGAAAGGTTCACGCTAAAACATAGAAGAAAATAACATTTGAAAAATAAAAATAAAAATAAATTATACTATCAAGAAAAGTATTAAACAGAAAATAATATGATCGCAATATATTTATAAAATAACATTCGAAAATAATTTGAAAGTAAACAATTTCTGTAATATCTGTATAATGATATAGCTTGAAATTAATTAAAGCGAATTGTTATTTTAAAAATAGACTAATGAACGTTTAGGAAATTCAAGTATCACATGCACAATTTTTTTGTTTAATGACGATATGTAAATGCATAATATTAATAGATATTATATTGTATATTTTATATTTTAATATAATTAAATATAATTAAATATATATAGTACACTATATTATATATTTTTTTAAACGTAATATATTATATATTCATCATGTATTAATAATGTATTGTATATGCATTTACTATATTAAGCAAACAAAATTCATGATTATATAGAATCTGATAGAAAAGATGTTCTGAGGATTATTTTAATATTTCAGCTTCTCTTTTTATAATTGAAAATAATACAAATTTACAGGAAATTCTCTCGTAGAAAAATATCCATATTAAATATAAATTTAAAGTATAAGACAGGCGATATCCATATTAACTTATTTCGTCAAAGTCAAGTTCTAAGAGGTCTCTTCCTCCTCTAACTCTAATGACTTCTTCATTCGCTCGCGTTCTTGGAAGGCAAGTATGACGTGAACACCCAGTCACGCCAAATGTCTCGATGCCTTCCTGCGATCGAGCCTTTAAAGTCGAACCAGTATCCGAAGGAGACAACGTAGCGATCTCGTTGCGCAAAGCCGCGCGCGCGCGCGCAAAATCTCGACTTTCACTCGGCCGCCGCGCACGGATACGCGTGCGCGCGCACGTGCGTGTATCCTTGCGAGCAACACGCGCGCACGCGAGAGCGCGCGCGCTCGGATTTCGCTCTCCTCGACGTGCATCGCTGAACGCGCACGAAAAGCAAAAGATACATATGTAACTTATGGGATTAAAGGCTCGAAAGGAAAAACGAGGATTATCGCGCGGCTCTTCCTCTACCCTTCGTTCATTATACGCAAAGTGTAGCTATACCTCCTTGATTAGTCACTTTGTGGTACTGGCTTTCAAACTCGTTTTTTTTTCCCCGAGCTGTTTGCTCGAAATATGAAGAAGGATGATTAACTTGAAATGAAAAATTATTATTCCGGTGGTGGGAAGCTCGAGACTTTTTGTCCGCGAAAGGGGATTAACATATAGTATACACGCCCGTATATCGGATTTGAAGCAGCAAATGGATGATAAATGTTTGCTGTTTAATCTCTCATTTGAAATACCAAAAATTTTTTAAATATAGCAGTTTTTCATCAGGAAGGATTTAGCGTGTATATCGCGTTATGAATGATGAAATATTTCTGTGAATAAATCATTATTTGTTATTACTAAAGCGGATCTACATTAATCTTATTCGGTTTTCGGTGTAGGACAGAGAAAAAGATTTAAAAATTTCAAAGAATAAAAATTTAGTTAAAAAAAGTTAAAATTGAACGCACGAATCAAATGCAATCGAATGAATAAGTATTATGCAAATAGCAGATACTTAGATACAAAAACGATAAAATATCATTGTCGAGTAAATTCATTGTCTATGCGAAAAACGAAGGGCAGAGTAGGTCAATCGAATTAAGGTAACACGAAAAGCAGGGAAAGAAAAACGGAACCGTCACGGATTATTCTGAGTGAGTAAATTACAGTTTCCCTTTTTCAGAATCTCTCTCGTTGTACGACGCAGCTGTGGCTTCTTGCACTTGCCGTATAAAAAAGAAGACTTTCATTTTATAAAGACACATTCCACGATGTGTAATACGCGATTATTTGTATTTTATTATTATATATTTATAACATTATATTATATATGTTTTATATATAATATTTTATATATACAAATATATAATACTACATACATATATATATTATTATATATTATTATTTATTAGAATACTATTATACATATATGCTATATTTAAAATAGTTACATATGTATATATGTACACATAAAAATATAACAATCGTATAGATCGGCATAAATCATGTTTCGCGCTTTGCATGCGTCAAGGAAACGGATATACAAACGAGATCAGGTAGGAGAAAAAACCGAAATATCAAAGTGCCAGGGACAGCTGCAGACTGTCTCGCTACAGTCGCGGATTATAACGATCAGACTTTTGCTATTGCGAAAGTGTGTGTATTTAACTCGAAGTGAATGGTGCAGATCTACGTCACGGACTTGTTACAGAAACAAAAAATAATGCATTTTTACGATAGCCAGTTATACAAGCCAAAAGATTTCAAACTAAAAGCGCAACTGGCTTTTTGAGCGGATTTTGTAATAATTATTTTTTCATTGACTTGCATATTTGGGATGAAAGTAGATAATAAAACTGAAAAATTTTTCGTGTTATTCCTGTTTTTCAAACCAGTTTTGCTACAATTTGTTTAACAAAATGTTAATAAATCTAATTTTTATATATAAATGTGACTTATATTTTTTAAAAAGATGTGATAAAAAAACAAAAATATATGTATAATAAAGAATATATATATATATATATATATATATATATATATCTACTCTGTCATAATTTTTATGTAAAAAAAATTAATGAGATTTAATTGAAAAATAATTGGAAAAAAAATAAACAAGATGCGTTTAAATTAAAAAAAATATATATATTACTTTTGTCACAAAAGTTAATTTTCCAAACACATTTGTATTTATAAATAATTATATTATATAACAAGGGAAAGGATGATAAGCAACGACATTTTAACGTGATTAATACAAGTCTGACATAGAACCTTGCAATTTTAGTTTGGATTATATATATGTAAATTGTATTATTTAGATAAAATTTTATTTTATTTTACAATATATAACGATATTTACTATTTATATATTTATCACGATAATCAAACGAAACAATTAATTTAAAATGGTGAATTTACGAAATATCATCGTGACGATAAGATTCATATAATAAAATCGCTAAAAAGAAAAATATTTATTATCGCAACTTTTGCGCAGTAACTATTTTCCATGCAATTTGTTTAATTCATGTTGCATAATGTACTATTAGAATTTTTCATGATATACGTATACATAGAAAGTTGTTACTATGTGCAAATTATAATAGTTACCGCCTTAGTGCTTAAAAATTGCATCGCAAATACTTAACTCATAAGCATTTACATTATATGTTACGGAAATCATTAATCGTTAAAGTTTGCAGTACATATTCTTGATGTAAAATTTAAAATTTGCTAACACTAACAATAAATAGGTCTGTAGAAATAAATACATATATTTATGCAAAACAACAAGATTACGAGAAGAAAAAACATAGAGACTTATTTTATATATTTTATATATTTTATATATACGCATATATATGTGTGTGTATATTTAAAATTAATTATAAATATTATATTAAATATTTTAAACTAATATTTAAAAATATTTGAAAATAATTTGATATCTTAAAACAAAATTTAGATGAACATTTTTTACGCATTTTATATACATGTAAAATACATCATTACTGCGCGGATAAATATTTAATCGATAAACATTAATTTTATGCAAATAACAAATAAATTAAATGAAAGCTTTAAATTGCTTACTCATTTCACGATTGCTCCGGCGTCCGTTGATTTTCGATGGTTTTCTTTTTTTTCTTTCTCGTTCTTTGCTGCTCTTTCGCGACACTGAACATTCATTCGCGAAAACATGATTAATTACGATCGAGTTAATCACTAGAATACAACGATTGCGCGCTATACTTTGAACGAGAAGAGAGGGTACTTTCAATGTTAATCGCGCACTTTATTATACGTATTACAGACATATTGGAGAATATTGCTGGAAAATTAAACTCGCTAAAATTACGTTGTGCTCGACACATTCGAGAATCATAAATTAAAGATAAATATTCGCGGAATGCAATATATCGTTGCTTTGCTGTGATTACTCGCGCCATAGATTTTAATCAAATAAATCATGGGCACGTTTCAACAGTTTACTGATATATAGAGGTGACATTTTACTATGCGATTGTCAAGTACATTAAAACATCCGTGTGATAAAAACGATTATATTTATCAATTCAATGCATCGCATTACATTCGGCTCGGAATTGATTTATTACACATACGCGATTCTGTATTAATAAACAAAAAATTTAGAAATACATAAATTCAGAATAATATCTGCGATTGTATGTCGCGCGATACTACACGAATCGAGTTAATAATGACGCGATAATCTCGAGAATTAATTAATCTCGAGGACTGGCGCTCACTAATTGTAATAGTTTTTCGATTAGAGAATAATGATATAAGAACAACTTTATTAGAGAATTAAAAGGAATTTTATTTTACCGAAGGCAGTCTGGAAGATGGAAGAGTTTTATCGATGCGCGACGTAATATATATATATATATATATATATATATATATATATCTTCTTGTTTAACATTGACCGAATAATAATAACATTTTTTACGTGTCTTTTCTCTACCCGCGTCAATTCTTCTCCTATTACGCATCTCACTTTTGCACCAAATGCTGTCAAATAATATAAATGATGGACACTTTACCTTTGACCCCGATCACATTAAGAAGGATAATGCAACGACACACTATATATACTTCTTACTCTTGAATAAGTCGCCACGTGAATGACATTAAGACACGTGCGTGTACATTCTATGACACGCGAGTATTCTATGACAATTAAAATTTCTTACTTATCCGAAATACTCAAAACGCTACGAAATCTATATCGAAGATGTATTCTATGCCCTTCGAATTTTTATATAATTAATTAATTATATAATTAATATAATTAATATAATTATATAATTTAAAAAACCGATAGACTAGAACTATCAATAATAGTTTAAATAGAGGTCGATGATTTTTTTCGATACTTTAATCGATATCTCGATCCGTGCATTATTCGACTCTTGCGACATACGTGATTTGTTTGCGCACAGTTGGCAGTCGTGTCGCGCGATTCGGGATAGTAGCAGCATATAGAAGACGCTTCGCTCTTAAACTCTCGAAATTTGTATTGCGACAAATATCGTGAAGACGATTACTCGTTGCGATTAGCAATTATCCATTCGTGTGATTAATTAATTCCCGCCGTTACCGCGTCTTAATTAGCCGTTATTCGATTTGCGTAATATCGCACGGCGAATCAGGAGCGACAGAGATTGACGCGCGAAGCGAAGTGAAGTTAGGCGCGTGATTCTCTCTCTGTCTCTCGAATATCGAGTGAACGAGCATCCTTTTCGTGGTATAATAGAGCGCGCGTATTAATATTATTGAAGTGCTATCCAAAGTGCCGCGTAATCGTATTCTAGTGAAGGCGATCGTAATTAACCGTGTTTTCGCGAGTGAGTATTCAGTGCTATGAGAAGACGTAGAAAAGGACGAGCAAGAGAGGAGGAAGAGGCGTCGAACAACAGCGGAGCAACCGTGACGTTAGTGATTTATAATTCTTATTTAATTTGTTAGGTTAGGTTAGGTTAGGTATTATACATATATTTGTTAATTCTGTGAAATTTTGTATTACTATATACATATATATTTACTTGTGTAATATAATGTGTATAACATTTTTAATTTTATTTTGAAAGTATAGTATTTAATAAAATATTTGTAATCATTATTTTTATAGTTAGATATATAATTTAGTTTATATAAATAGTAAAACATTTCATCATTATTTAAGATTCATAAAATTATTTAAATTACTTATATATACGACTTATTAGATTTTTATTATAATATATTTTATAAGTTTTATTTTTTTATAAAAAAATTTTTTATAAATTATGTTACTTTTTCTTAATTTCTTTGAAAAATATGAGTAAAGAATTTTCATTTGCGCATAGTGATTATTTTTTACATAGTGCTTTAATGTGAATATTTTTGTATGTTACAGGTGAATGTATTACAACTCTGCTATTGCGCACGTACTGGTGAGTGCTAAATTCTTTTATTTTAAATTCAAGGTGATGGATTTGTAATGATGTCAACCGCATAAAATATTCCGTATTATTCATTTTTATAAATTGTTTATTATTTATATATATAATTAGTGTTATATTAAAAGAAAAAATATTAAAAATTCAAATTGATACAAATGTTAAATAAATACATCTTACAAATCCATACATAATTGCACATATATTGCCTCAAAATGAGAAAGTTAAAACGAATTAGTATTTAACTTTGCAATACATATTCATAACATAAATTTATATGTATCAGAGATTTAAAATGCCTGACATTCTTGCATTTTACACCCAAATTCGCATACAAGTGTTATGCGGCTCATTAAGATTCTCTACTATAAAAAAGTATAATATGCTATAAATCAAAATCTATGAAGACTTAGCTTAGTCCAAAGTACGCAGACATGCTTAAATATATACTTAAAAATTTTATGATCCTTCGACAGTTATCAAATAGACTCCAATATAAATTGCGTAACTATTTCTAAAACATTCAAAGGAAAAGTTTCAATTCTCAATATTATTTTAAAATTCAAAAACTTAAACGCAGCAATTTTTTAATAATTCGATCGATCTCTTTAGTGTAATTAATTTTTTTTCCATTTCTATTTTCTTCTATAGATATAGATGAAAAACTAATCAGAAAAATTAGATGCCAAGAACAAAAATCACTAACACAGTTTTTTAACTTTGATTTATCAGCACAGATCGTGCAAAAAATATATAAATATATTTACATATAAATTTTGCGAAAATGAATCATTTGTTTTTGTATTAATAATTTTGTATAAATAAATTAATAAAATATTAATAAAATGAAAATTCATAATATCATAATGAGAGACCGAGATTATTAATGAATATATGATATATTTAGAAATATATCGAAATATATACCTATACACAGAAATATGTAAAAACAAAGATTTATGCATTTTGCATTATAATATATGTATATATATATATAGAGAGAGAGACAAATATTTTAATAACTATTGTAAAATTGCCAAAAAAGGGAGGGTGCATTTCTGAGTTTTCCGAAAAATAATATAAACGCACACAAGCTGTGCGATTCCTTCGTAATCTATAATCGCGAGTTAGATGCTTGATTATTTAGTTGATTTCCCAAGACGATTTCCCCGGTGAAGAACGCGCGTACATCCGCATCTATGCGAGACGCGTAAGCGGCAGTGAATAAAGCGACCGTGCCCCGTACCAGTGACGTCATCCTCGCCGGATCCAAGATGGCGATCGCGTGTTCACCAGGTGAAATCGAGAACGAGCAGCGGCGGCGGCGGTCCCAGGACCGGTTTTCGAGGAGGCGGTACTACCGCCGCCGTCGTCGACGCCGCGTGCGATTTTTCGTCGTTTTGCGGGCCGAAAAGCCGAAGCTGCGAAACCACACGTCCGCTACCCTGCCTACGCAAACTGCTACGTTAAACATTCGCACTTCGGGGATCCTTCAATTATGCAAGATGTCCCGGGTCCCTTTTATTTACTTTCACATACAGCTTCTTCGGGTCAATATGTATCAATTTAAAAAAATATATTAATATTTGCAGTATGTAATTAATAAATTTTTAATTACTACATATACATATAATCCGTGCGTCAGAAAATCATAGAAAATTTAGAACACGTCAAAGATATCTGAAGATTAAAAATGTTTCTTGAAGATGCGCGATCATATTTAAATTCAGAGATTTTCATAAAATAAAAAATTTAATCGAGAAAACTTTAACCAAGAGATTTTATTTTACAGAGTTCTCTAAACATTAATTCGGAACACTTAACTCGCAAAAGTTCGTGAATTGCTGAACAGCTCGTAAATCATTAGTATACATCTGGAAACTTCTTCAGAAGCAATTTAATATAAGTTGAGATCCGAATACTTATACATAAATGAAAAGACATACGGAGAAAACCTAGAACATCTTGTGCACACAATCAAAAGAGCAGAATCTCATTCGAACTCGACTTTAAACGAGAACTTTATGTATTCGATAGCAGCCGTAAAATGGTGAAAAATAGTGACGTGCTACACTAAAAATTCCCCTGTTGAAGAGAATCTAACGTAGGAATCCTATCGTAGGGGCGATGAAAACGACTATTTCCCACGTGTCGTCGACCTACGCGATTTCACGTCGCTATATATGCTGTAAACTTTGCGCGTGCAAATCGTCCGGTGATCTCGATCGAGATAGCTGTGAAAAAAAAAAAAAAAACGAGAGAAGATCGTATACACGAGAAGAGTGTTCTAACAGAGATGAGAACGCGTGATCTCGAACCATTTTTTTTACTCGCCGGTGAATCGCTTCAAGAACGTGTCGATTTCACGTGTCCTTAGCACCTTTGTCGTCGTAAAAATTTTCTCGAGCGATTAATTCGAAAATCGATACGGCGCCGTCGAGTGACGTCCGTCCGTCGTTCTCTCGGATGCGTAGCGGTGCGTATCCCGTTCCACGGGACACGCGCATCTCGCGCGCGAGAAGGTGTAGAAGCGGATGTCAGTGGCGTAGGGCGGTGTTTTCTAGCTAGTTTCTAGTTTTTTTTATCATTCAACTAGTTTTTACATCATTCAGCTAGCTTCGAATTTTTTTATATCAAATATCTTGCAAATCTGCCTCAAGGGTGCGTTTAAAAATGGCTAATATATATTGAAATATTTTTTATTTTTTACTTTTTAATAAATGATAATTTTCTGAAAATTTTAACTATATAAAAAGTATATAAAATGATTTTTAAATATGTCTAAACACCTTGGAAAAAATGTTTAACATATGTATAAGGGTGGTATCCTTTGTCTTCCTGAAAATCATGTTTTTAACTTTTTATACCTTGGAAACTAATTATTATTATTACTTTCAATCTGTTCGGATTGAATAAATTGTATTTTTATCAAAATTTACTTTTAAGAAAAATTGACTTTATTTAAATTTAAAGCATATGGCAAAATGATTCAAATATATTAATGTACACAGTATTGAGGAAAGAGGGCCTAAAAATAGACAGTTTTGTCATATCGACTTCGCAATCGTCTCCTTAAATGTGTCATGAATCATTCATAGACATATTTGTTTATGAACAATAACGATAGCAATGAATTGATATACTTTTACATTTTATATATATATTTTGCATAAATATCTTTTATGAAAAAATTTTAAGCTAAAAACATACATCACTATTTTTTATGCAAGAAGACAAGGATATTAACTTGTGCAAAATTACTGATGCCACGGCGATAGTATAAAAGCGCATTGAAAACTTTCTTCGTGCATAAGCAGCTTTCAAACTACTACTATTGAGACGCGATGACTCTCGAGTCTTTTCACCTTAGCCGCAATGCATTGCTTAATTTTTCGAACGTCGATCGAATGCTTTTGCTTTTCTATAGACGTCGCTTAGATCATCGCGATTGTTGAATCACGACACTGATGCTTGATCCATTCATCATCAAAGCTCGCACGCGACGCGAGGCATCGACTGCTCGATTTAAGAGCGCAAACGTTGATTATAATCCATTGATCAGTTATTATACCAATTAAATAGGAGGAATTAGTCAGCTCTTGAAAAAAAAAAAAAATACTTTGCAATTTTCAAGTAAACCATATCGAAATCGATATCAATCCCATCTTATCGTTTATTCCAAATATATTATATTGTTTTTATCTGAAGTTTAATTTTTGCGTGGACGAAATTCAAGCTCCAAAAATTATCTCTCGACAGATACATGACTATTTGTAAAAAAAAATTAATTTTTTTACGCGACAATTTGCTCGTTTTGCGTAAACATGTCAAAATTAACATTAGCTCATCTTAACAGACTAGTACAGATTATTCGGTACTAAAATAGATAGAAGTCTTTTCTTCTCATATACGTGCATGAATTGGATACCATACACACGACAAACTCTGATTTCTCGCTGTCCAGATCAAAATCTTGATCAAAAGAATTAATATCGCGAATCCGTTACAACAGTAACTTGCGAAAGGTCGATACACTTGCCGCGAAGCTTCGATATCATTCGTACAGGAGAAAGGAGAGAAAGAGAGAGAGAGTACATATAAGAGATACTCATTACATTTTCCATCTATAAAACTAGATGGTCAATTTCACGGATTAGCTTCCTCGCGTTTTTGCCTTCGCGTCGTATAGTACTAGAACATAAATCATCCGTTGGAAACTCGCGCATCGTTAAAAAGAATCAAAATCGCGCGGAACGGTGCCTCTTTTACTCCCTAGGGGTCAACGACGGTATCAATTTTTTTCGACATCGTAGATTATTAAAAAAAAAAAAAAAAAAAAAAACCGGTGCAATGGAGACTCGGATCGCCGCGACGCTTTGCTTTCTTCGTGTATCTCTGCAACGTCGGCAGGCGCGAAGGTCAACGAGTCTTGTACGCGAACGGGGAACGCCTATGGCGGCAACGCGCGCAACTTACTCACGCTCGCAAAATTGCTACCGGGGCCTCTGCCCCCTGCGAGAGGGCTTCTCTTCCCCATCCGGAGTTAATGAGCGCATATCTCTCTTCGCTGACAGTCCGACGACCTCGCGTCGAATTCTCCTCGACGAGTAAACCCTATCGCCCGACCTCGATTCCGGTGCTGTCAGCGTTAAAATCACCATTAAACGAATGTAAAAGTGATCGAGTCTTGAAAGAAATCAGCTGGAGGCAGCACCGATAATCGATTGAAATTACATCCTATGCAATCTCTCTCTCCTTCTCTTCCTTGCTGTATATCAAAGTTCACCGTTCACAGGAAATGCTGGAGGAAAGCCGAATAAATGATTGTTGAATATCTATTCAGAGAACTGAATACTTGCACTAACGCGAGAATAAACCCGGTGTGACGTTCGCGAGGAAACTCTCTCCGGATATATTCCATCCAGCGTGATCCGGTGACGAACGGTGAACGTCCGGAGGAACACGCGATAGGGCAACGCGCGCGCACGTTGTTCTCTTCTCCTACCTTCTCACGGTGGGGGACGACGGCGACGACGAGGACGTAGGTGAGGACAACGACGACGACGACGCAGGGGCTGCGTGCGGCCGATACGCTCCTGCCCGGGAATCTCCGCGCGCAGGCAGGTAAATATCGTCTAGTGCGATCGCGCGACCACGACTGAGTACATTCTCCTGAGAGAGCGTTTCACCTGCGACGACGGAGCCCCCCATCGGCGGCCTCGGCGGCGCAAACCCGAACCCCGCCACTTTTTCTTCTCTCCCACTCGCGCGTCCGTCGCGCGATTGCGTCTCGAACCTTACGCGCGTTCGTCCTTATACCTATCTCAGATTTATAGTCATTTGAAAAATGTATTCCTAGTCTTTTAAATTTGCCGCGAATAAACGCTTCCTTTTGGTGTTATTTAAGTCTAATCTTCATGAACGTGGAGCGTATACTATGTAACATAAGTAGTAGCCGCATGGATAAATCTCAGGCTGTATTTGTATTCCTCTAATAAAAAAAAGACCTACCTTATACCTCTTCTACCTGCGACTCTTGGGTATAGAAATATCTTGTACACCTATATTGGGTCCATCCATCTACCTATTGTGCTGGTGTCGAGGGAGATTCGTCCTCTCGACAAATCCTAGGGGGCGGAACATCGTCCTTTTTCTATACGGTCAACGAGGCATCCTTATGCGGACAGGTGTGATGATAGGGCATTAGGCAACCGAATGGGTAGTCTTCCTTTTTCAACCTCGTAAGAGCTTTCGTAATTTCTCGTTTGTTTAAGGGCGGCGTCTCTTTCACGGAGAGGAAAAGAAATGTCTATTGATGAAAGCAGGTATGATTTTTTTTTGTGCGAGGGATACACGCGCTATCTGTTGCTTTGTGGATCACAGAAATTGTAAACTAATTATATGCCGATTGAACAACATCTAGAACAATTTAATAACATTATACACGGAGAGAATTTTCTCTTAGAATTTACCCTGAAAATCATGACAATCATGGAACAATATTGAAAGAGTTTTATTAGAGTTTCTCTGATTAATATTTGCACCGCAACAAAAAATATTAATATACACAATAACATAAAATATGTTCAATTAATTTGGTAAATATTGTCTCACATGCACGTCCGCATTCAAAAGGAGAGCAAATGCTTAACTCTTTTACTAATTTCAACGAGGGCAAATACCATCTCTGTTCCTTCTTGCGGACACTCATGTTGTCCCACGATTACCATGATTTTCAGGGTAAATTCTGAGAGACAATTCCGTACTTAAAGAGGTATTTATTCAACGCTATAAAAATCGATCGTCAAAGCGTCACACCCAACCGCGTCGAAACCGTTCGACGAGGGAACAGCTTCTCTGTTGGGAAGCGAGCGTTTCGCGATATATGGGCATTTAAAAGAGTACTTTTGACACTGCGGTGAGAGACGGAGAGGCTTCTCTACCGACGTCCGTTACTCCGGCAAGAGGTGGATTTAATGTCCTCGGGCGACGTACGGGACGCGAGCGCGTCTTCCAACATCCAGCGAGCTTAGAACCGCTATTCGTTATTTCGCCCGAACGAGAGCAACGCATTCTCTCCCTTCTCGCTCCATTTTCACCAACTCCATCGGCCGTCATCCGCGGAAGGAGACTCTTCTTTCGCGTTCTCCCGTTGGTAAATTTCATCCCGACGTGGGTCTCCTGTTAAATGACGTTCGTCTCGGATAATTTTCCGCGAGATCCTCTCTCCACTTATCTCCGGAGCTGACGGGCGACGGTAATCTCGCCTTTGGCGTTAAAGAGCGTGGATAAGCCTATAAGGATGTAAGAGAGGCGCGACATTCTTACGTTCTTCCTTCAATACGCGTCACGTATTTTTCTGCTCGAGGTAACTAGCAGTTTAACTGATGTGTAAAACAGCTGATTTAACGCTACGTCGGAATCTCCTGTTATGCAACACGAATTAACGTTATCTCTCTCGTTTTAATTAGATACACGACACTATTCCAATCTATAAATAAGGAATGATCGTAGAGAGACCACACGGAGATTCGAATATAATTCTCTCTTCCTCCGAGATTCCGCCGCCTACAGTAATCTTTCTAGTTTTTCATTCGGATTTATTTGACCGCGAGGAAAGAAAGAAAGACTCCCTTTGATTATCTCCCTTTCTTCAAAATCGTTTCCCCAAAAGACGAATCCACGGTCAATCGGGATCAGCGAGAGATAGCGGATGTTGGTGATAAGGGAGTACGATGATCCGCGAGAGAAAGACGAAAAAATGAGAAACAGCGGGGGCGTGGGCGCCCAAGGCCTTCTGCTCGCCATTTACGGCTCGAGACGTAGACACGGAAGACTCGGGGGGTGGGGAAGGGGGATAAAAAAAAAAGAAACGGTGAGAAAACCCGGGATATACATATAGAGAAGAAAGGACAGACGCGCAAGAACATAGGGTGTCTAGCGGTCAGGGAAATTTATAAATCTGGAATTGTCAGGGAAAAGTGAGGAAATTGTACTATTTATATATATATCTGGATTTTTTCACATTATTCTACATTTGTCTCAATAATTGGAAATTTTTTATTATTAAATCAATATAATCTTTTCCTCGACTCCCTATTTTCATCGTCGTGTTATTTGATTTCAATGTGTTTGATAGAGCAAAACTAAAAAATTTGATACGCTGACAAAAATATCTCAAGGATTTCATGATTTAACATTTAATTGATTCATCATATGGATATATGCAAATTATATATTTGGGAAAAATAATACTAAAAAATTAGGGAAAAAATGAATTTCTGGTCTTGGAAGATCTGAAAAAGTGAGGGAATTTTTTTCATCGAGTCTGCTGGACACCTTGAGGAAAAAGGAGAGAGATCAAAGTGCACAAGAAAGAAATGAATACCAACCGTGGTCGGACTCCCTCCTCCATTTTGGTCGCATTGTAAACCGGAAAGACCGCTCGAAACTCTCCTTCAACGAAAAATACGCGCTATCGGTGGATGGGGTTCGCCGATCCACTTTTGCGACTCGACTCGCGTTGAGTCCTCCGATAGGACGGCGCCAAGCTAAGTTTTGCCTCCCTCGACAAGTTTCTCCGGTCTTCCGACAAGGTTTCGAGACTCGCAGGACGAGAATCCTATCGCGATCCTATCGCGCGTCAATTTCTCACGTCGATGATAGCTTCGCTGGCGCGGATATACCTTGTTCGAGGAAACCAGAAATAGGACGAAGGCATTTATTATTTTATAATTTTGTGAGATTATCCGTGATTAAAATTTATGTTAATACGTCTCGCGAAGGCAGATTTACACGCGCGCGAGTTTGGAGTTATCATATATCAATGATATGCAAAATTATATACAAAGTATGTATGTATCATAGCATCGCGCGAGCCACAGTCGACGCTTAGCGAAGCGAATGTAATTTATTCGCGATGATGATAGTTGAGTTGTCTGTAAGAGCGTGTCCTGTATACATACGGTGCGATTAATCCGACATAAATCGCTTTCACTTGTTAATTTGAAGATCAAAATCGCACGAAATCTTTCGATTTCTAACTCTTATAATTCGCAGCTTCGAATAATAACTTATATACATAACTCAAACACGCAAGCTGAGACATTTCTTTTATTTATTTCATTTCTCACTCTATTCTCATGCGAATTCTCGATTATTTATTTTCCGAATCGCTATCTATAAAGGATACTTGCTCGATTCCTGCGAGTTAGTTAATTTACATATCGCATCATATATATATTAAAGTACAGTAGATATTAATATAATCCGACTCGCCGTCGCGATTTTCTGCGCAATCGAAGGTCGATAAATTCTCTTCCAACACGCGGCTCGGGACGTATCGTCTAGGATACGCACGATCATCCTTGCATAACGTTATAACGATTATGCAGCGTGACTCGTCCCCTTTTAAAAAGCTGCTCCCGATGATGGGAGGAGACGTTACGCAACGCGAAGCGTCAAATACCGTGAGAGAGTGACAAGTCCGATGCGCGTGCACGATCGTCAAGTTCCTAGTTTTTTTTTCCTTTTTCCCATCGCAATTTGTCGCTACTTTCGAATCCCACGAGAAATCCCACGACGACTTTCACAATCCGCTACTATTCCTATGAGCGAAACCAGATTACCTACTCTGTGGGTCTTTCGTGTTTTCCCGGGTGCATGCGTGCGTGCAAGCTCGTCGTCGGAATTTCGTTTGCTTTTCCCGTAACATCGATTACCTTTTACCTTCTTCACCGCGTCACTTGTCGCCTCGATGCAAGTTACGTCACTTAAAGCCCGAATCGCGCAATAATCTTTCACTTTCATACACGACGTCCTTGGACCAATTCTGAAAGTGATACGAACTTTGCCTCTTGTGAAGAAAAAAAATACATACATATAAAATGTATAACAATTTCTCTCTCTCTTTCGCGTGTTTAATAAGCATTGTACGATTTTGATCACAGATTTCACGCTATACATATTTTTGCTTTTACAATTGTCATCATTTGGCATATATTTATAACTCAATTTTTACGGAAACAGATTGGAAGATAATTTTGGATCTGAGTTCCGAACTCTCGATCGGTTTATTAAAAAAATTTCTTCTTTTCTTACAATATTAAATTTTTATTAATATTTTTAAAAATAGCTTTTTAGTATAAGAACAAATAGAGGGGCTGTTATTTTTAAAGAAAGAGATACAAAAATATATAATTAGCATCTCCGAGAACGATAGCAATAAAAGAAGCTCCAGAGACCTTTAGTTTTTTGATAAAAATTTGATGAAAAAAGACTGTCTTCTCGCGCTTGAATCGATCTGCCGAAATCGGTCGGTTTCGCGCAATGTTTCGGTGCAAACTCTCTTCGGGAGAAGAGGGCAATGGACCGGTTGGTCCTCTCTCTGGCCATCGCATCTCCGAATATGGCAATCATCCCGGTACAACGCACTTTCGAACGTGTTCAAAATATTTAAAGACTCTCTCGGAAATCGTTATCGCACGTGCACGTTTGTGCTCGCGTATAAGTCGCGAATTATCGTAAGTTACCGTAAGTCTAGGTGCATCTGTACACGGATGCGGAGATAAGTTGACTCGATAAGTGCCGAGTTTTCACTTACCTGATCGCGCGGCGGTGTCCACGTTGTATGTACGATCGCAGTGATATTATCGTTAATCCGGCGTGTAAAGCAGATGGATGCTAATTGCCGCTTTGGTGAAGCGCGCTCTGAAAATAAATACCGCGGAAAATTTCACGGAAATTTACATATACATATATCGTCCGAGAATGCAACGGAACGGCGACGATAATTCATTCGTAATGCTAAAATTGCAAGTCGAAGTGAGAGAGATAACAATCGATCACGGCTTTCTCTCGTTGTAATAATGAAAACTTTTTCTATTTATTAAGCATAACGAGTGACTAATTTAATAATCGAGAAAATGACGACAAGTTTAAAACACAGTTTGAAGAAATTAAATGTTCGTTCAAGCAAATTAATGAGCAGACAAAATGGAAATAAATTTCCTTTATTCTTTTTCGAATAAAAAAAGTAAAGATTAGTAAGCATTAATTATTTCTATTTTTATTTTTAAAAAATTATTTAATTATTAATTATATTATTAAGCTACTTGTAAATTTTTATGTGCTATTGAGATATATTTATTTAATGTCCAACATTATTAAAAATGTTATATATTGCATACATTAAGAAAAAAAAATTATTAATGTGATAACTTATAGTATATTTCATAATTATTTAATTATTCGCAAAATGAACAATTTAAAAAATTTTTAGATAATGTACCTTTATTTTTTACGCTATCTTCATTTAAATAGAACGAAGACAGATACAGCAAAATCGATCGTATCGATCGGTGGCAGTGTGTCCGTATCAACAAATAAATTCGCGAATCGATAGTTACACAGGCGTAGAATATGATGACTAGATTACAATCTAATTCTTGCATTTAATCGCGCATGGATCGAATACAAGAATCCATCGAAGACGAAACCAAACTTTCCATCAAAAGAAGCCGTCGCGACTATACAATAATAATCTGTATATTAATCTTTATTTCCGCCCTTCTCTCCCAGCACTTTCTTATCCAGTACTTAGACTTACGAAACACAGTTAACACAATCAAAGTGACTCATCAAAATACTCTTTTTCGAGGCAATATTATACGCAGCATCCAAACATTTAGCATTCGAAACATTCTGCGATTTAGCAGAAGCCAGCTCGCAAAGACCCGAAGCATATCGTCACACGGGGATTACTTTTTTTACTCTACTTTCCGAGATGCCTTCGCATTATAATAAAGAGAAAAAGAAATAAGATTAGCTGGTGTATATTGAAGAATTTATAAAGAGAATTTAATTTTGCTTTCCACGAGTAACTTCCTTTATTAATCTACGACTTTTTCCTAGACGGTTTCTAAGATCCTCCTTTAATAGAGATTACAAAATGTTCACCCACGCAAAGGCAAAATAATCCCGTCCGATGATACTGTCGGTATCCAGACACGCTCTTTCGCGATTATCTGTGTCTTTTAGAATAGAGAAGGCATATAAAGATATCTCCGGCTCGACTCTAGCGCGACGTGTCCACGTCGTCATATATTTTTTTAAGTGTCTTTTAACGAGTGTGTATATCGCTATCTCTCCAGGGATAACGCACATCTCCCGTCTCGTGCTGGCAAAATCATTTTTGGTCCTTTGCCGCGTCTCTCTGTCTTTTCGTTCGCACAGATCTCCTTCGTTCGCGGCTGAATCCGCCCGAGAGAGGCGACCAGGGGATTGAAACCGGTATAATTTCGACGAGTTCAGTTCCCCGTGCAAGACGTGGTCGTCGCGTTTTCATTGTTCGCGTTCATGGAAGGAGGAAAGAGCGGGAGTACGAGATCTGATGGGATATATATATATATGAATATTATATAGGAGAAAAACGCTACTTAAGACACGCGACTTTTTCGCTCTTCAGAAATGTATAAAAAAATTTCGAATGACGTATGGCTTCTCGTGTTCACACCGTATTGGAATGCGCGTTATTATTACCTTAAATCTTTAATGCATGTATAAGTATATATATATATATATATATATATATATATATGACAAATGCATGAAACTAAAGAACGCTTAATTTCAAGGAGTCGACGAGAAATACACACCCACACACACACACAACAGATGCACACAATTGCCTGGTATATATCTCATATTCCTGCTGTCTCTCCTCTGAAACACGTATAGAGATCATTTTCGCGTAGAAATCTGAGCTCGCCGAAACTATTATCGCATCTTCGAATATTTAACCTCCCGAGGGTGACTTGGCGCGTTGTATCGTAAATTCTGCTCTCTCATCGCAAATCGTCATCCGCATAGAAGATGATGAAGAAGGATAGGGTAGGAGGAAGAGAAGAGACGCGCGCATCCGCGATATGTCCGGCGCTATCGCTGTCGCATCGCTTCGAGTTCGATGAGCAACAATCGACGGAGAGACATTTTCGCGAGACCGGATCTTCCTCCGCCGCGGATCCTCGAGGAAGGTCCGTCGATCCCTCGTCCTTTCAGACTCCGAGTCTTGCGTCTCCGTCGTCGGATGCGTCGAGGACCGACATGCGATGCTGAAGGTCGTGGAAAGGAGGACCTTGACGACAACGACGACGAACCGAACGTGCCGACCCTCCGAGGCAACCTGGAACGATAATCCGTCCGACCATGTTCAATTCATCTATGGATCATTCTCGTTTAGATATGATGGATATGATAGTCATATGTTTGCGCTTTTATCAAGCAAAAGATTCATTTCGACAATTATTTCTACAACAGGATGTCTAGCGGTCAGGGAAATCGGACATTGTCAGGGAATTTTTATAAATCTGGAATTGTTAGGAAAAAGTGAGGGAATTGTACTATTTATCTGGATTTCTCAATTATTCCACATTTGTCTCAATAATTGGAAATTTTTTATTGAATAAAAATTTTTCTGTGTTGTTAAGAATCGATTCATCTATAACGTGTTCCTTAATTTATATTTTCATCGTCGTGTTATTCGATTTCAATGTGTTTGATAGAGACAAAAATAAACAGAGACAAAACTAAAAAAATTGATATAATATGAATAAAAAAAAGGTGATTAATTATTTAAGTAGTTTATAGTGACATGTTTGTTTCGATTATCGTACATAATGCAAATTGTATAATTGATTTAAATTTTTGTTTTTTTTAATTTTCGAACCTTTTCATTGTTGACAAAATATCTCAAGGATTAGATATATGCAAATTATATATTTGGAAAAAATCAGGGAATTTTTCTCATTGAGTCTGCTGGATATGATAGCCGTATGTTTGCTCTTTTTATGTTTAAAATTATTTTTCAAGCAAATATATTACTCCCGTTTCAAATTCGGCCTCTCCAGAGATCTGGAGCAACGCAGAAAAAACGTACTGAACTGTTTGTAAAAAAAAAATCGTGCACATTTTTTCGCATCTCTGCAAAGTATCACCGTACATCACATATACGATACATATTTATATTTCCTGCATAAAATTAACATTTCTCGAGACTGAATATATGTATGGCGCGTACACGTGACGCCACAATATTACGGTTTAATATCGGTTTAATGGAAGTAAATTCCCTTAATGTGCGTCGAGAGAGAGACGATATATCTGGCGCGCATATATCACGTAGGCGATCGGCGATATCCGCCGACGATTCTTCGCTTAGGAATTCAATACGTTTTCTGAATGCCAGTGTCATAAAGAGCGAGTTATTCAACGGGCAGGACACCCACGCGAACGCGCGCGAAAGAGAACAAGAGAGACGCTCACCTCGATCAGGCTTCTTGAAGCTCGCCCTTCACTCCCGGCACGCCGTGGTGATGCCTCGAGGCGAGCTTGTTCGCCAATTCGTGCATTACATCCCGGTATATCACGGTGTCCAAATTCTCGCCTAGCATGTAGAGGAGAAACCAATCGCCCACCTTGCTGCGACGCACTATAGTCTCCACGGCGTCCCTCCGTACCAAACGAAATCGCATTCGCAACAGGTAGACCCTCGTGCGCGGCGAAAATATTATTAGGATCTGTGTGACACATATTTTACATATTTTTGCAGAACAAGTAATTCATTAGAAATGTAAGTTAAAATATTTATATTAATATTATTCGTATTTCTTAATATAATTTATTTCAATTGTAATATTAATATAAATATTAATGTTATTAGAAATATTATTAAAAGTATTAAAATTTAAAGTATTAAATTAGATATAGTATATTGTGTATCAAGTGCGGAAAGTTGACAATTGTCAATCCGCACGTGATACACATACTATTTTGTATTACAAGTGCAGGCAAAGTGGCTTTGTGCGCGTTTTCTGTGCGCGAGGTGGCCGATCGCACGCCGCCATCTTGCGGCGGCACGGTGCGGGAATAGCCGTGTTCAAAGTCATTGTCCACGGCTAAAGCCGTGGGCAATGGCTTTGAATGCGCCGCTAGATGGCGGTGTGGAAAATCGGCCGCTTTCCGCACAGAAAACACGCACACAAAGTGCCACTTTGCCTGCACGTGTAATACAAAATATATTATTCTATCAGCTCTTAAAGATAAATACAAAGTGCACGAGCAATTATATGTTTTTTTCGCGCACCACGGATATATATTATTTGAAAAACAAGAAGGGATCGTACTGACCCTATACAAAACCGTAAAGAAACTGAGCACGCCGAGGAAAAGGAACCAGAACCAGAGAAAGACATAGATTTTCTCGTTGACAACGTTTAAAGGCAGTATACAGACGGCGTCGTGCCTCTCGACCTCTCCGCTGACGCCGTACTTGTAGAAAGTGCATTTGGTCATTCGTGGAAAGACGTAAATCATCGGGTCCACGCGGTCCTCTTGATCGGATTCAAGAAATTTGAGTACGTCGATACCGAAGGTCAAGAAGGCGCCGTCGAAGAAGCGATTCATCAGAAACATCTGACCTGCGACAATGTGCTCGTTGCTTTTTTACAATTTTACGTCATCACTTGCGTCTCTTTCTCTTGAAGCGCAAATTTGACGCTGTAAAAAACACACAACTATCTACCTAATATACGAAAATTCGCAATCAATTAAAATAATCGATCGTTTTTCTTTTATATGTATGTACAGCCTAAAGAGAACAGTTTGTTATCTGTATTAGAAATATATTGTATATATATATATACGATATAAAAAATCTCATTAAAATCCTATATTATAGGTGCGTGAATAATGTTACCTCAAATCTTTTTTACTACAGTGTAAATAAAATATATAATACGTTGCTGCTTCTGTGTCAGTATTAAATGCAAGAAATTAATTTTTTAATATTATTGAAACACATATAGCTCACAGATCTCGGTATTCAGGAACAATCGAATATATCACTCATATAATTGTTTTGGAATATTTCGTATTTGCTTCTCAAAAGGTACGGATTCATATAATTTCAAATTTGATTTGTATACATTTTCGTATAACTTGTATATTTTATTGGTGCACACGTGTGAACTATATCACACGTTCATTTACGTTGATTGCAGTCGTAATCTTCGCGTTTGATCCGAGAACATAATAGACTCCGCATAAAATCGACGAGCCATCGCAAAGTCAATCGGGCGGTCAAACTTGCAAGCAGTTGGCCAGCTGTATCGCTGCCAACTTTTACCGTGAATCGTTCATTCATTCGACGCTCATTACACGGGTGTCCGCTTTTTTCTCGATGCGTGTACGTGTCGATGTTTGTCGAAACTAACACCTATAAAGTGTAACATGTCAAGCTCGCGTTCATTGAACTTTACTGCCTTTTTGATGCGTCAATTAAATGATTACATCATTCTATTGCATATTAATCATCAATCGAATCCGCACAGCTCGATGACCAATCATAATCGTTTTAATATTCTCGTGAATCAATAGAAAGATCGACGCTCGTTAGATTCATGCATCTGTGATGCGTCTATTATATTTTATTTAATAATATTAAATAATAGTTTCAATAGTAAATTAGTCAATTCATGATATACTTGAAATGCTGTCGACATCTATAGAAATTTTATTTTTCTCCCGCTTTCAGATAACGATGTAATTGTTTAACAGGGTTTGAAGCTCAAGTAGAGAGATAAATGTTGCCTAAACGTAAATGTTTTTAAGTTGGATTTCAGTTTGCATAATATAAATCGAAAACAAGGTAAATTATTTTATATACTTGCAAATATAATACCTGTAAATGTAAAAGATTTAAAAATTGCACACTACAGTAAAAAATATTTGAGATAAATTTATTCACCTATATAATGATTTTAACAAGATTTTTTATACAATACGTTTCTTAAAAATTTAACATAATAATAACTTCTCCTCTTTAAGCTGTATATTACAGAGTATTAAAATTTTCATCTGTGCAAGATGGTTAGAATATTTATAGTATACACGTAACTATTTTAATCGCCAAACAAAACGAGAGAAAAAATGTAGAATACTTTTTAAAGATTTTAATTTAAAATGTTTCAACGTATAACTATAAAAAATAACCAATTCACAGTAAGAAGTCTGATGATTATTTCTTAAAGTTCCACTTCTCAGTATACCGCGAACTCTTTCATCTCAGCTACGTGCATATGTGTCTTGGGTAGCAAAAGCAACGAGATATTTTAAATATAATTTTCCACGCACACATTTATTGATTGTATATAAACGAGAGATGCGCGGCAAAAAAAAAAAAGGTAGTACATAAGTTGCCTAATGGTCCCGCGAAATCCGGAAATCCGTTCGAGTTACATCACGACCAGACGTACGTTGTCGATCGAGAAACGCAAACATTGACGGAGGACACACGGTGCTGGAGCGCAAAAAGAAAAGAAAAGAAAAGAGCGGACTACTCACCGATCACGTTCAGCAGTGCGAGGACCTCGCATAGGTAGTACCTGTAAGCCCACCAATTGTGAAAGCGTAGGTTCTCCCAAAGGTAGTCGAGCAGCATCTTCTTCTTTTGCTTTTTCTCCACCTCGGAGCATAGCCCGATGTCGAGATCCATCATAAGGGCATGAATCTTACCACCCTCCCATCCCTTCCAGAGCCATCGCGGAGTATAAAAGAGGATCGCCTGCGAGCAAAGTGCCGAGTGAATAAATACCGGCGAATCGACCAATAGCTGATATATTACAGAGAAAGAGAGAGAGAGAGAGTTCTGGGCGAGGCGGACCTACTTACATGTAATACATAATCGATGCGAAAGAAGCGCGAAACGAGTTACCATTATTCTGCCTTGCGCCGATAATTGCTGATTAAAACAATGCTTGAAAAAAAAAAAAAAAAAAAAAAAGAAAATTCCTTTTAATTTATAAACTTTCGATGAAAAAGAAAAACTGACAGCCACTCGCCCCCTTTCGAAAGATGGAAAGTATTGCTGCGTTTATTAAGATTATTTATGCTATATGAAATTGCGTAGAGTGGACGCCATTACTCATGCTGTAATTGCGGACCAACAAATTAAAAACAAGATTTAATTTGCGGGTATTTTAATTACTACGCTTACTTTATTTTGCCGAATTTTTTCTTGATATTGTATTGGATTATATATACGACATGTACAAACTTCTCGCGGGAGATTAAATTCTATCTCGAGTTTTTATATATCAGAACATATTTTACTACTGCGTGATCTTCTCAATTCAATAATACAATACTTTAAGTAGGAAAAACGCGGGAAAGAGGACGGAATAATAATGATGGAAAGAGGATAATATTCAAATGAATGGAAAAACCGGAGCAATCCTATCTCAATATTAGAATTTCCGAAACGATGTCAATGCACTTATCGAGATCACGTTGGGGGGTGAACCCTTTCTCACGGTATATAAAGATCTGTCTGGCTTATCGCCAGGGTCCGTGCTTACCATAGTACGCGATCGAATATAGATACGCGAGCGCGTTACCTCTCTTACGACGTGTTGGCGACCGTTCAGAGAGAATTCTGACTAAATTACAATTTACGAAGGGTGACACAGACTCGCGCGGGACGATTGTTAATGAAAGCAGACGGCATACGTGCTTAAACTGTGTCGGAGCTTTAATAGGTTTTCCGAAATATACATTTTATCGCCGCGAATTACATTGTTCCTGAGAAACAACGTGGGCCGTTTCAAATTAGAGAGAAATGTTTACACGACAATATAATTTTATTATGAGAAATATGATAGTTTATTTTAGATACAATGATCTATAGTTTTCCGTCATTTTGGGTTTCACGTTTTATATTTATTTTCATCCAAGAATTAAATTAAATTTTTTCACACGAATTGTTACACATGGAATATATTCACAGGAAAATTAATATTTTATCTATTTAAAGACTCTTTGATTTTTTTAAATGTTGTAAATAAAAGATAAGTAACTATACGAAAAAATGACTAAAGTGTTAGTAAGTGAAAAATAAATAAAAATTTAATAAACATACGCGATATATAATTCAGTTAATATAACTTTAACGTACGATTTATTTACGACAACAGCGACAGGAATATATGCAGAATGGGTGGTCTGACCTCGCTCTTGACAAGATTACGACGAAACGTAAAACAAACGCCCATGTCAGACCGATTGTACGACGATTCACAGCTTTTAGCATTATCGTGAAATAACGTCCGCGTGTAAAGGGAAAAGGAAAATGTGTGACCGAAAATAGATTAAATTGTTTTTCTCTTCGTTTTTTTTCTCTCGACACTCAAAGACGAATATTGCTACATTTGCTGCCTCGCTAAAAGGCATTTGTATCAATATATTTAAATTTTCAAAAATCTCTTCAGCTATATAAATAAATGTTAAACACATTAATGAGATAGAGAGAAAAACAGATGTGATATATTTACTCTTTAAATAATATATATAAAATCTATTCAATTCTAATATTGGAAGCTTTATGAAATTAAACAATCTTCATGCCATAAAAAAGACGCAAATTAAATCTAAATTTGAAACTGTAGATCCTGTATAATATAATTCTCGTAGTCTTGCAAAATAGAAAGGTTCATTAAGGCCTATCTTTCAAAGTCATCTCCTACAACTGTTGAAAACTTAACACAAACGTAACTCTATTATTCGGTCGTAATGACTCGTAATAATGGCAAAACTGAGCAAATTTATGAGATGTACGGCAATCTAGCGCAACCGCTCACTGTAATTATATTATATGCAACGTGAGTAATATCCATTTCTGTGTGAGAGGAAAGAATCGCGTACACGCCTCGCCGCATGATTCTTCGAGGCCGATGCGTAGCGCCCATGTGTCACGTTAGCCCCGAGTAAATTTAGCTAAACAAGGCGAAGGAGCTTCAAGCCTCCGAGGAAAGGAGAACGAAGCGAACAAAGAAGTGTTACGTATAGCTTTTAACGCGTTTAAAAATAAGCGCGTAATGTAAAGCAACTTTCATTTTTCTCGATGCTGTCAAATATAAATATACTCGTCTGTGTTTCTCACGTCTAATTTGAGGATTTCGCGCTGGATCAAAATATTCATTTATCAATGAAAAAATCTTCAAATTTAAAAATTAAAATTATTTTTAACTTTTTAAACACTTTCTTCACATGCATTCTGTAGCTAATGTTTTTATAAAAATATTCGAGTGCTTATTGTTAGATCGTTGAAATATAATTTTTTTTCTGATTAAAAGATGATTCTTTGGGAAAAGATATGCCTTTGTATATATTTTTAATTTTATTGAACTTTGTAATCTCTCTTATTGTTAGCTGTATTGTAAATTTATAGACGTTTTATGTCAAACTCTTTAAGAAATGTTTAGAAAGTATATCCAGATGCGCAGTAATCAATCGCGAAATAAAAGGCAGACGCGCGATTAATCATAGAACGAGAGAGTTGTACGATGCCTCGAACGCATAAATAGAGGACTCGAGGAAAAGAACGATATTGTGTACGTGCGCGAAGACGAGTAATACTTGAAGGTATGAGAGGCGGAGGTACGATCGATAGCATCGAAAGTACGTACGCATTTTAAAGGCAGAAATATCTGTAACCTGTATTTATGAATTGACGTTATGAACAAGGATTATCAATCACGGATAAACGAATACACGTATTCGACGCTGACCGTATATATTGCTCTTCGGTATTAAGTCTAGATACTCTAACAATTTTGGACTATCTTAATTTAGATATAAATTCTTCGATCGTTTCTCGAGACAAAAATCTTTCATTATTAATTGTAAATCATTTTTATTACGAGTAATGTATACGCTTTCATTTGAATCCTAATTAATATCGAAATATTTTACACACATAAAAATATCGTATATAATCGGAAGAATAATTATATCTAATCAGTGTTGGGTAGTATCTATGTATATACATGTATCACATATTTTTTATTTATATATATATATATATATATATTATACATTTTCACATATTTTTTTTTAATAGCCCAATTCTTTAAATTTTTAAAAGATCAAGACTCCAAGTTATCAACATATCGTCATCAACACCGGTTAAGCGATTATTAAGCATTAATCAAATAGTACCATGGCGAAATAGTTTGAGTGGCGATATCTTTGAGGCATTTTCACGTGTTAAAAGACTAACGAATAAAGTCTTAATATAAACAAAAATATGAATAAAGATAAAAGAATTATTCAGTACATTTTGTGCATATTACCATTATTATGATAAAATATAATTTAAAAGTATCTGACTATCTGTATCTACATATATCCATTTTAATTTGTGTATCTGTATCGAGATACATTTTAAACGTACCTTACCCGTCACTATATCTAACGCAGTCATTCATTAAATAATGACAAATAAAAGAATGAAAATATGAAGAATGAGGGATCTCGCAAAAATGGATAGACGCAACGCAAGAGATGCGAGACAAGAGGAAAGAGGGATAAATCGAGAGACAGACTATCGTTTCTTACTTGCAGTAGCAAGAGGAAGATAACCCACTGATAGTATTTGTGCTGCTTGACCAGGGGATGGGGCGCGTGGCCATGCACTCCGTCACCCTTGCTGTTCGACACCCCAGGGTAGGGCACGGCCTGGCCGAGACTGAGGTTGAAGGCGCGCACCATGCTATACGTGGTGTGCAGCCAGCAGAAGGTCTCCAGCACGGCCTTGTCCACGGAACCGCTCGCCTCGCAATGTATCGGCGAGCCGGAGATACTTTTGCAGGCCAGGGTGAGACAACCGGCTAACAGCACCGCCACCGTGGCGCGATAATGGAGCCGAAAGATCATCGAGTCCTCGGCGATCCTGTGCACCTTGAAGAGCGATCGAATCGAGCCGAACAGATCGATCATTTTCAGCATGATCGGCATATTCAGGGATCGGCCAGAGAGAAAGATCCTTGGATATTTTTGAAGAATATTTTACAGAATATTTTGTAATCCAATTGGATCGGATCGCGATGTGAAAATCTCCCCTGGAGTTTTTCTTGCGTATTTTCTGAATATTGAGAGCTTACGAAATTGGAATGGAAATATATGTCTCTTTTGCACAGATTTATTATCTGATTCTTGACTCGAGACACTTACTTGCGAATTGATTCTTCGGATCCGCAATTTCATTTGATTTTACTGTTAAGCTAAAACTCAGCGATTATTGTTTTATAGCTAAATTGTCGGAAACGACTAACGAATGAATCGTTGTATGAGCACAATTATAGTCGTAAAAGTGGACCACCCGTGTAGCTGAATTAAAGTCCTGCGAATTTTGAGATAAAAATCGGACGATATTGTTGATTGGTCTTCGACTTCTCCTTGGCTCGCTTCTCTCCCTTCGATTATTTCTTCTCGAGAGCTTTTGTTAAATATTTTATTGTCATCTTTCCCGATCTGATAAGATTATATTATCCTTCGAGTTTAAGGACCGTTTATTTATAAAATATGTCGATTTACTCTCTTCTTTGCAATTTTATCGTACAATTGCAACGACGAGATGAAAATTGGTACAATCATCTTTGCTTTCATTCTTAAAGATGCTTTACGGATCGCAAAAAAAACGATTCTTTACAGGCACAATATACGTCACACAAAAATGCACACTTATTGTCTCGGTTAATCATTTTCTATCAAACGTTACTGTTTATATTTTTTTGATACACACATTTGAGTGTTCATTTTTTGATCATTATCATAATTAACATTATGTAGAATTTGATTCGCTTTATTTTAAACACGAAATAATATTTTAAGAACTGAAAGTTGTCAAAAAAAGTACAAAGTATAGACGTCTTTGTTATGAAAGAAAAATTAAAAGACGAAAAATGGAGTCGAGAAAGAAACACGCACGTGAAACTCGGATACAAGCTGTCACAAGACTGACTGGACTTGAGAGGCATCCCTTGACCTCGATACTAAACACATAACTTATATTATCTTGCATCGAGTCGGGTCAGCCAGAGGGCTGATCGACAGAACATTAAAGCGTGTTATCCAAGATCTGATATGTATATACGGTGCGTATAAATATTTGCGCGCGCCGAGGTTCTTCGATATACAGCAATAAATATCTTTACTCTGTTCCCCAAAGTTTGCAACAGGCTAATAAAGTTCAATATCACGTAACAAGATTTAGCAAGATTCAAAGTCGCGCGTAATGAAATTATGACTTAAGTTGGAGCATTATCATTGTAAACATCGACGATTTGCAGAAGCAAAGAAAAATAAATGAATCCTATATAATTCTTCATATTAGATACATATTATATTAATGTTCACGTAAATATTTTTTATACATAATAGTAGATCGTAAAATATCGAAGTCTCACTGTAAACTTTACGCACGCATCGTTAAATCTCCGCGATATAACGTGTGTCGAGGGGAAGAAATCTATTTTTATCCCTAAAAACCCAAGAGAGAGAGAAGATTCAAGTGAGGTAATAAACGAGTATAATTTATTCCCTAAAATTCTTTTGTTCTTCTCGTTACGTTACATGACGTTACATTATCGGATAAGCGAGGAAGCAACACGGATCTCCCTTGTAAGCTCATCTGCTCTAATTGCATCGGGAAGTAGAAGGCGGTTCGACGATCGGCCATCATCGAAAATATACTTAATCGAGCGTGTTACGAGCGCTCGTATATATATATACATATATTCCGGACTACGAAATTAATCGCGCTATTATCACGTGTGAAAGCACACTCGGATGAACGAAAATGTGCGCTTGCGAAATAAATGCGTGCTCGTCATATCCCGAGAACGGCGGAAAAATAGATTAAGCATTAAGCGATAAAAAGACGTCGAGGTTGAAACGAGATATTCGCGTCGTAATTAAAAACTGCGGGATCGATCTGCCGACATAGGATGCTCATTAAGCCGCCCTTTTCGGGCGCGGCTTTTTTTAGGGTGAGCGGTCAAAATAATCCTCGTTATTAACGAGATATCGTCGAGTGAGGAGGAAAAACTGACAAGAATTTCGGTCAATTTTTTTTTTTATTATTATATTATAATTATTTTTTATTTATTGTAATTTATTTTATATATATTTTAATTCTTCTGATATATTTTTTATAATTTATATAACTTATACATATACATATATGTATATTAATGCGAATTCTCTTTCCACATATATTACTTGACATAAATGAGAGCTTACTGAAGAATCGAAATGATGTATACCTAACGTGAACGAAAAAGTGCAATAAAGAACTGGACAAAATATATGTATACAATATATACTCTGGATGAGAAAATTCATTGTCCGACAGCGACATTAGCTCAACGATAATTATAGAAACGCGAGCGTTTATATCAAAGAAAAGGGAATACACATTCGGTGAAAAAAGCGGCGCGACTATCCGCTGTTAAACTATACAGTTTGCTTTGAGATGCCGGATGAAAAAACACACGTAGCAAAGGGAGACGAGGAAATGGAGAGAGAGAAAACCTTCGTTATACGAGAGAATTACGTTTTGTAGGCTGTCGTCGCGGAGCGAGTTTATTTTGAGACATCAATGCGAGAGAGTGTAGCATGAAAGAAACGCGAGAAAGAACACAAGGGAAATACTATGGATCCGCTATTTCAGGTGCGCGCCATTAACCCGTTTCGTCCGAATTTTCCTTATAAAAACGTCGCCTTCATCGCGAACGGAATTCGTCGGATGGATCGATGGTCAAGAGTATACGGGCGTCCGCAGGATTTTTTCCAAGGAGGGACATGATTAAAATTTTTTGTTTCTTTATTTATTCTTTATTATTCTTTCCTAATTTTTTAAATTTAATTTTTTTATTATTTCATTTTTATAATATTTTTATATATTATATAACATTGTAATTAAATTCCAGCGTTTATTCACAGGAAGAACAAATGCTTATAATTTAAAATATATTTTAAAAAATATTAAAATATATTTTCTTTGTATTCCTTTATATCAAAAGGATCCTTTCCCGTTATTAATAAATAAATAATGTTTTTACTGATTCTCTCTTACTTTTCCCTGCGAACGCCCATAGCCAAGAGCCTTGTTAAATCTCTCAGTTTCGAAGTAATTTGCGCGTCATATATACGTCGTCAATATCGTCGTCCCTAAAGCTCGTTAGTTTCCAGGTAACGTAAACCGATCGTACGTTGTACAGTGGTTTAACTTTGTAAGCGGGGCTAAAAAGGTGAAGGCGGAGACCCTACCCTTATTCTTTGATCGAACGCGTCAAGGCGACGTGACATCGCGACGAACGACCCTCACGATGACAGAGTTTAGTGCATTGTTATACTTAGGGTTTCCTTCTTGGCAATAGACTGGACGGTATAAGCCGGTGCAAATAAGCGTTGCAGCCTGCAACTTGCAGGCCGCTCCGAACGATTGAAGCGAACGAGTAGGAAGCGCTTATACGAGTGCAGCGCTAAAAGCACCACCCGGTGCCATTTTATGGCCCCGTATGCGAACCGTACATTTCGCGTTAAACGTTAAGATTGCTTGATGTTTCGCGCTCGTCTAATCGACGGACGCACATATGTATATTCAAGAAAGGAATGGAGGGATCTGCTTGGGTATTTACCTTCTCTTTTAAGTTTGATATTATAAAAAAAAGGTGAACAGGAATATAAATTTTAAGGGTATTCGATATATTCCGTCTAACCTTCTTGCGTGTGTAGGCAATTTTTTAATACTCGCGCAAAAATTGGTACCGTAATAGCTCATGTATTAAAAATGTTTTGGAAGTCTAATGAATCGTGAAATAAGATATTTTTTGTAACACACATTGTTTAAAATTTTCAATTTAAAAAATTGACATTTTTTTAGACTCCTGCAATCCCATAATCGCTTGCAGTTTGTTATTATTATAATTAGTTAAATTATTAATAAGAAATTAATTATAATTATATTAAATTTTACAAGAGTTATCGGAAATTTGAAGCATTGACATAGCATTTGTGTATTTTTATTCTTGTTATTCGCGCAAAAATGGATACTGCACTAGGTCATGTGTTAAAAGACATATAGGAAGTCTAACGAATCGAGAAATAAGATATTGTTTCTAACATTGTATCAAATTTTTAATTTAAAAAATTGACAAATATTTTTAGACTCCTACAATTCCTTAATCACTTGTTATTTATTTTTTCTTTTTATTCTTAATTGTTATTCGTTGCAATTTTCTCGAATCGCGCGCATTTAAATAAACCCTTGGAGTCTAATTCAGGCTATAGATTCGCGAGAAACGTTAGAGAATAAAAAGAAAAACGAAAATGAATTACCTGGAGGAACAGCATGAAACAGACCCACTGGTAGTATCTGTACTCCTTCCTCTCGGTCTCGGAATACGATTTGGAATTGTCGACGCCGGGAAAAGGGACCTCCGAGCCCTCCTTCTTCCGATAAGCCGCGGTTATCGTGTACGTGCTGTGTATCCAGCAATAAGTGTTCAGGACGTCCTCCGGCAGGTCCTTGCTGTGTATGCAATCGATGGGATTGCCGACGTACTGGCGGGTGGTGACGATAAGGGAGAAGGCTATCAGCAGGATCACAGTGAGGCTGTAATGCAGGCGAAAGACGGCGCTGTCTATATGAATGTGCGAGATTTTGATGAGGCTCTTGAGACCGCGAAATATGTCGAGCATCTTGGTACCGAACGATACCAAGGACGAAGAGATCAGGCTATGCCGAGCAACGACGGCGATCTCCCAGGATAACGTCTCCAGGACTGCGAGTTCCTCTACGTCGTGCTCTCGCTTTCCGGTACCTTCCGCCGTTTCCGCTTCGGAAGTCCCTCAATCGGGTCGAGGTTGCCCGTCTTCCACTCTTTTCACTCCTGAGCGCGACGCGAGAACCCGAAATTCCGAAGCAAGATCGCGAAAACGCGCACGAACGTTCGCTAAAGATCGCCAAACACGCGCATTCACCTGTCCACATTTCCCGACTTCTGTATATCGTTTCTCTAGAAAAAGAATTCTATTTCGCTATATCACTCTCTCCGTTTTCTCGGATCGTCCTTGCGACCATCTTTGCTTTGCGAGACAAATATTTTCTCGATCGACGAAAAGATGTAGGCTACGATTTATGTTTTATATGCATTGCTTTGGTATGATTATTATTGGTCTTTGGTGCATTATTGACTATACTTCGTAAATTCTTTGGTCGATCGTATATCACTATTAAATAACTTATGTGCTACTCATATCTCATCTTTGGCAATTAACTTTCTGAAAAAAGTCAGCTTCACACTGTCACAAGAAATGTGATACCATCATCCCACATTTCGTACATTTTTCTTCTTTCTTCGCGTTTATACCATCGTATCTTCGTCTTGTGCGAAATAAGTTTGTTGCACGGACAATCCCTTGATCGTCCATGATCGAAACTCTTGGAATAATCCATCGTAATTTGTGAAAATAGTCTTCCCGCGCATTCTTCACTTATTCTTATCGCACTTTCGTCTCAAAGTTTCTAGTCACGACTATTCGAGTGCACGAATTTTCAACGTTCGACGTCATCGTCCTCGATGACACGAGTAAATTCGTCGATTTCTTGTTTACCGAGAGCTGTCAATTCGAGGAATAAGTCGGACGAAAATGTGCGAGCTCCTAAAATATTATCTCCCCTTGGTGGATTCTAAAGAGAAGCATATTAAGTGTCCAACTTTACGCGAGGTTCCTCTGCCTTTCACAATATAAAATTACGATATAAACATCGCGCCGTGATGATCATCGCAACGAAATTACGCGCCATTAAATATTTGCAAGAGTCCTTCGCGGTTGCCCGAAAATTTCGCTGCGATATTCTCGGAAAGCGTCCGTGAAAGAGAGAGGAGAAAAATCTTTACGATGCGTCTCGTTTCTCAGGACCTTGCATGTTTCGTCTTACGTTTGATGTCGCAATAAAGCCACCGTAAATTCCTTTTTTTTCTTTCCTTTTATTTTTATTTTTATATTTCGAAAGCGCGCGAAAATGATTAGTGTTATCGAAAGCCCGGCGCTCTTGTGTCATCGTCCGATTCGGAAGCGCCGGATTTTCGCGAAGGAAAGAGAGAACGGACAGTGACGCGTCTCGGAAAATTTCGGAGAAAGCGCACGAAAATATCCGCTCGCAACTCATCGCGTCGATATGCTTCTGACCGGAAATCTAATATACAAATCAGTCGTTTTAAAAAGAGCATGTGTCATGAAAGGCAGAACTTTAATAATTGAGAAAATTTACTAAAAAATATTCTCTCTTTTATAAAAAAATCTTAAAAAATATCTTAGAAAAATCTTATAAAATATTAAGAAAAATTTGTATTTCCTTTCGCGGAGAAAATTAAGACTTTCCTGATTGATTTTGAAAAAAAAAAGATTGACTCCGTATTCTTTCTTAGATATGTAGGTGATTCAATTAGATTTGATCGGGATTCTCTTGGGATTTCTCGGAAGAGATAAATTCGCTTATCCGAGTAAAATTCAGTTTGATTCTGTTTGACAAATTTATGAAGAAATTTTCGCGTTATTTTTGAGTCGAGATTTGTCTCCGATTAGTTTCAAGATCAAGTATACAAGCCGATTAATTTCGATAAAATACCGTCTCTCTTACAAATCTGCGCTTGCTCGTGAATCAGCGAAATTATATACTCCTCGAGGCGACGCTAAACTCGGAAACTACTTTACTCTGCAGACGGAATTTAAGTAATTTCCTTGGCAAGAAGGAGAGAGAGACAAGAGAGAGAAAGATATATATATATATATATATACATACATATCTCGTTATATGCATTCGCGCCTTCGGAGGAGACTCTTTGTTCGGCGTTCGTTACGAAAGTATAAGGGGTTTTCTTCGACTCGATAAAGTTGTGTTGTGCATTGGGTCCATGCCAAGATAGGATGCGCTCGCTGTAACCATTTTAGAGTTGAAACATTTTTGGGAAAATAAAACATTTTACACTTGTTTCCGCGCCCGCTCGCGTGGACGTTTTATCGATGTTTTAACGGGACGACTGTGTGCGGAATAGAAATGAGACACGTTGAACGTGCCAAAATTATCAAATGGTTCAAAACATCGGGAGAAACGATCTATGCTACATTAAGAAGACTTTTCAAAGATCGAACGTATATTCTGAATATCCCTCGATGAGTCTACTCGCACATGTCATGTCAACGACACGTACATTCGTTCGTGGGAAAAAATCCGGAAAAATAAATCATAGATTATACGTCTGTTAACATTTGTCGAAATCATATTTAAAGATGAAAAAAAAAAAAAAATCCCGTATCGTATTAAGCCATCATTTTATGATAATTTTCCGCGATTACACGAGTACCCGTGCGTGAATCAACTCGAAGAGGATTTTCTGAATAATTTTAATCGACGATTAAATTATCCGGACTTAATTACCGGTTTCAGGTATGAAAAATCAGAATATCCTATATCAATGTAATATATTTTCCTCATTCCTCCAATTAACTATCAATTTCCCGGTTAATCTCGCGCAGCGAGATGGCCAGCCGCGAGATACAAGACGTTAAAATCTTGAATATTAGCGTCGCGTCCCCAAAGCGGATATCCGGCGAGACCATGGTCTCGCTTCTCTTATTTCCATCCGCGAAGATGAGGATCGAACGCACGGCGTAAATACGACGGGAACGTCAGATGGGGAGGATGAAACTTTTTCCAGATGCGGCTGAGCGATAGGGAGTATCGCGAGGATGATAAGTGAGACAAGTGGTACCGCAGCGGATACACAACGAGCACGCGGAGGATTGCGAAGTCTCGAGCGAAATGTGCTCGAGGGGGCTCTCGCTTTATTTATAACCGACCCCTCGCTCTCTCCCTCCCTCATTTTTTCCCCTCTTCCCACCCCCTCTTCCCATTAATGCCGGCGGGCTCGAAACGATCGAAAACTCCGCGGCAATTAACGCGCACCGGCCACTTCAAAGGCCATATCTGCCCGCGATACGAGCCCGATCGTACGGTCTCGTTATACACGGGCTTCCCAAAAATCAAGTCTTTCTCTCTCCTTCTCGCACGGGCTGAACCTCGAGAAAATTAGGAGACCTGTAATTCGTTGTTTGACGCGCGCGCGTTATTCTATTTTAGCCTTTACCGCGTGCACGCTTTGCTACTGCATGCGAAATCGCCCGGCGGCGAAGAAGCGAGTATAAGCTCGGAAATACCTGAGGGCAAAGTGATGAGAGAAAGAGAGAGAGAGAGAGAGAGAGAGAGAGATGCACTTGCACCTTTTACCTCGTCTCGCTTCTTCCGTGTCTATCGCTTTTAGAATGTACTACAAAGGCGAGATATCATTCCGATTAAAATAGGATCGCGATTCTAAGATTCAAGAATTTAATAAAATTATTAGGCCCACACACAGTAGGGAAATTTGTGTTCTCTTGTTAAAAACGGTCCTCGTTATAATTTTTGTGTTCAATATTTAACACATTCATGTATTAATTTAATATATTGCTGTTGTGTTAATTGAACTTGAATGTCGAATTATTAAAATAACTAAAAAAGATGTAAAAATAACACAATGTGCATCTATATTTAATTTTACATAATAAATCTATGTTCTGTTTTATTAGCGGCAAGATTTATCTGTTAAAATTTATAGAAACAAATGTTGATTTTTTATTTTATAAATACGGATGATAAAATCTAAAAAAAATTAACATATTTTTAGTTAATTTTTATACTAAAATTACATTATGTTAATTTTACATAAAATTGATTTTAAATTACTTAAAGTTTTGCATTTATTTTGTGTTAAAATATTAACACAGTGTTTGTGTCTCCATTTAACATATCTATATTATGTTTACTAACTAACACAAATTTTCTGTGGACCGTTTGAGACATGATATCTATTTTTAATAGAAATTTTTCAACTATATAAATTCGAAAATAAAAATTATTCAACATCTATAATTTCCATGCTCGTTTTGTTGGCTCATTTTTCCTTATTATTTCTTATCCAAGATTCAATATTATCGAATTTAAATTTTTCAACTTTAAATAATTAAGCATTTATATTCTTAAGCCATTAACTGTCGATTTGTGTTGAAAAAAAAATGCAAATAAATTACGCGACGCGATTTTGCGCTATTAAATAAGCGTTCATGAAAAAGTGGACTTTGACGTAACGTTTGTATTTCCGTCTCGAAAAATGCTTTTCGCGAATATTTAATCCGATTGCACAAGCAGAGTGAGAGTGCAACATCTATCCTCGAGTATCCCCGCGGTGCAAATCGAATCTTAATGCCCTCTGCTCCTTCTTGTCCCTACGAGCTCATCCAGAATGTTTATCATCCGCCTTCTTTATAGTGGAATTAAGTATGAATATACTATGCCGGCTTTTTTCAGGCATGTATACCTTTAAGATGCCATTGCAGGCATACCTTGGAAAGTACCGTTGGTAATCGTGCAAAGTTCTTCGGGTCTTCGCTGGCATCATTCGCTAGATTTTATCCATCGTGATATTCAAAGAAGCTCTTTTGCAGAAAATCTAAAATATATATATAATTCGCGAAAAGGCACTCGACTCAAATTGTAAAGAGAATATTAATGAAAATGTATCAAAATGATTTGATAAAACAGCAAGGAAATAAAATAGTATGCATTTATATTACGCAGATATATGCAATTATATGCAATTTTATTTATAGAGGTAATATACAAATTTGTATGCGGAACAAAACTAATTAAATGAATGAAATGAATAACTAGTAAATGAAAGAATGAACATAAACAAGATGAAATTGAATTAAAGTAATGCCATATTTGAATTAAGGCGGCTAATTGCGAAAAGTATATAATCAAATTCGTCCGAGATAATCAATTGATATAATAAAATATATTAAATAAAATTATGATAGATTTTATATCACGGGAAGAAATCAAAGCCTTTGAATTATTCTTTTCAAGAATCGATAAAATTATACGTGCGATATTAGCCTGAATAATCAGTAATCAAAATGTTCACTTCTGCAAGTACAAAAATACGAGCTTAATGTACGACTCCAAGGTACTTTCCGAGGTACTTGAAAATTCTTACTACTCTCGAGCTGCATAACTCATGTTAGATTACACATGTTGTAACGGCACTTTGAATATATTTACTAATGAAGAAACGCGATGAGCAACGGAAGTGATACATCACCGTTAATAGGTGATACTCAGACAATCGCGAGAGGAGACCGATATAGAGAGAACCTTCACGTTCTCGATCTCGTAACCGAGATTTTCTGAATTAACTGGCGTTTGTAGTAAACGTGTTAGGTGGCTGGTTTAAATAAAGCATATAGTCGGCCTTATTCGATTAAGAGATTAGATGGACGTATCATCGGCATATCCGTCGTCACGTGCTCGCTTTACCACGTGCGAATCAAAATATCTGCAAATATATATCTTACGAATGGAATATTCACGATACATTTAGAGTCGTGAAAATTAGCATGAAGGCGTATTTTATCCGCGAGTTTAATACCCGCATTATCCTTCATTTTGACGCACAATCTCATCCGTGTTATCAAAATACTAATCTATATAACTGATTAAAACTTAATGAAAATATATCTGATATTAAGAAACTGTCAGAAGGAGATAGACAAGAAGAAGAGGAAGCGAATAAATGTCTTTTTTTTTATTAAACAGAACAAATTGAAGTTAAATATTGTTCGATCCGCGAGAGCGATTGCAGAGAGAGAGAGGAATGTCACTACCGATTAAAAACTCAAACGCACTTAAAATCGAAGATAATTGAACGAATTGTGAGAAACGAGAAACCGAGAGCTCAAGACGTCCGCTCGCTTCGGAGGATCGCGGTGGACTCTTTATTCTTCCTTGTTCTATCATTCATATGGAGATGGCTTCTCCTTATTCTTCGAAAATTTCGGTAGACACAATACCCGTACACCATCGAGGGGATGCAGCAACATGGAAATAAATTACAAATTCAGATAGCAAAGTATGTCCGCACCCGAAACCAATACGATGCATTGATGCTCCAACTTTTTAAAATGAATTTTTTCCCGAGATTAATAATGATGCTAGAAACATATATTTTTCTACTTTATACTCTGTCTCTCTCTTTCACC